TAATTATTACTAATTATAAAGCTCTCGAGTATTTTGGTACTAAGAGGCCATTAAATAAATAATAAATCTAATAAATAGATTTCCTATTATAATTCTATTACCAGATTACTTATTAGCCGGATAAAGATAATACTATTACTAATATCTTATCCCGAAAAGACGAGCTTATACTAACCCAGAAGTAGGCTAAGGAGGCTAAAAGAACTAGATAAGTTATTCTATTAGACCTAATTCTTACTTTTACTAAAATAAAAGATATAGCTTATACTTCTACTAAAATAGAAGAAATAGATAAGCTATTAGTTATAATTAAAGTCCTATAAGCTAATCGGACGGACCTAGCCCTAGAGAATAAATATAAGAAGGCCCGGGGAAATACGGATTTATAAGAAATATTAAATAGCTATTTACTTTATAATAAAAGACTTATTATACTAGATAGATATAATAATTTATAAACTAGGCTCCTATAATAAATCTATAGTATAATAATTACTACTTACCCCGGTCGAAATAAGACAAAAATCCTAGCTCGGAAACTTTATTAGTAGCCTATTTTCTTAGTAGATATTAACTACTTTATAGTAAACTACTATAAATATTAAAGGTCTTATAAACCAAGAAATAAAATACTAGGCCTATTATATCTATTACTAGTTCCCCTGAGGATATGAGACGATTTGTCTATAGACTTCTATATCCCTGGCTCTATAAATAAGAGATATAATAATATATTTATTATAGTTAATAGATTATTTAAATAATATATAAGCCTACTAATAACCAAGAATACTATAGCCAGAACTACTACCGGCCTATTCTATTACTATATCTAGTAATTCCGAGGTTCTCTCCTTATTATTACAAGTAACCAAGAACCCTAGTTTATTTCAGACTTTATAAATAAACTATTAAGATTAACTAGAACCAAGCTAAAGCTCTTAACTATAGAATATACCCAAACTAATAGATAAACAGAAATTATTAACCAGATTATTAATACTTGACTTCGTCTCTTTATTAATTATTTCCAGGATAATTAGGCAGATTTACTCCCGGTACTTAATACTATAGGTATCGCCTGCCTATATGAATTAACCGGCTTATTTCTCTTAATAATTAATTATAAATATAAACCCAGGCTAAGCTTTAACTAGATACTACTAATAATAGAGTTTAAAATACCAAGAAAGAAACTTAATTAGGAAAAAGCATAATAGTAGGCTAAGAGAATTAATACTGCTATTAATTATATCCGAGAATATATAATAGTAGCTTAGGAGTATTAAGCCAAGCAAGCTAATAAGAAATAATAAGAACCAGACTTTAGTCCAGGAGATATAGTTTATATAATTAAAAAGATATAGAAAACGGACTGTCCGTCTAATAAGTTAGACTACTCCCTTACCGGACTATTTAAGATTAATAAAATAGTCGGCCATTTATATTAATTAGACTTTCTCTTATTATATAGGATTTAGCCAATTTTCTATATAGATAGACTCTATAAGGATCCTACTAACCTACTATCCGGCCAAACTAATAAAGAGCCTGGTTTTACTAAAGTTAATAGTAAACTCGAATAGGAAGTCGAAAAGATTCTCTTTTCTAAAATACTTTATAATAAGCTTTATTATAAAGTTAAATAAAAGGGATAAGATATAAATAATAAATAGTATCTTATATTAAACTTCAAGAACTTAGTACTTAAACTATATAAATTTTATAAGCAGAATCCCGATAAAGCAGGACCTCCTATCTAGCTAAATAAATAGATTTGGTATACTAAAGAGAACGAGTTTAATAAAGACTACCCAGATAATAATAAACCTTAATAATAAGGCCTCTATAATTAGAGGAGAAAAAGAAAAACCTAGATATTTCCCGGGTTTTATCTAAACCCTAGTATGTTTCCTTTATTCTACTATATTAGTATTTACTCTCTTTTCTAAAAATCTAGGCAAAATATCTTCCTTTATTATACTAGATTATACTTTACTATCTAGGCGAATTATAAATAAAAAAAGTGAATTCTTAAAGCTAAGCTAAAGGTAAATACTTGCCTATATTAGTTCGAAATATTATTAAAAATTAAGGGAAATCTTCTTAACTACTTTAACCTTTATAACCTTAACTATTTATATTACTATTACTACCTTAATAGAACTATTAATAAAGACGAAATAGACAAGAAATCCCGGTAATATATTATCTGTAGCCGGACCAAGTAAGGCTACTTACTAGATCCTGGGCAACTTGAATAGTAGCGGCGATATCTTAAGTTTAGTAACTACTACTATTATTAATATAATTACTAGCCAAACTACCTTTATAGACGAAAATAGTAACTCCTTTACCTAAGAACAGGTCAATATACAGAATACGGCCCGTACTACTCTTAAGAATATACCTGAAATTACTATAAAGAATATCTTGGCAGAAAGTTCTAAAAATAACGAAACAGAGGTTTTGGTTACTAGTAATAATAAGCCTAATAGTCTAATAGGCAAAATAGATAGTACTAATAAGGGCTTCCTTATTAACCTTACGGAGCTAAATGCCAAGAAGGTTAAAAAGAGCAAGGCTAGCTTATCCAAAAAACACAAGGTATTAGATAATAGTAAGAATTCCGATAGCAAAAAGACTAAGAACAAAAAGACTTCTAGTAATAAAGAAGACTCCGACTATAATAAAGGTAGCCAAACTAGTATTAAGACGCCTGTTATGACCAGAAGATATATAGTACCAAGTACTAGTTATTATATAAAGTACTAGTCTAAAACCAAGAGCTAGAAAATAATCCTGAATACCGAGTTAAAGAAGTAATGTCCTATAGACATTAACGAATTAGTATATAATACCGTTCAGGAAGTCGGAAAACCCTTTAGAAGCTCCTATAAGACCAAGATTATATAGCTCAAGGCCCGGGAATTCGATAATAAAGTAGCTCAAGTAGCCGCCCTTAATAAATAAATCTCTATTATAGAAGAATAACTTAAGAACGTATATATTAAGCTCGAGAAGGCCCAGAAGTTAATTAAGTAGCTTAGAAACGGTATAATCAAGTCAAATATCGCTATCCTAGCCAAGAAGAAAGGCAAGCAAGCTACTACGTTAAAGCCTGTATTAACGAATAGACTTAATTTACTACCCCTATTCGAAGACCGCCCGATAATAATAGTCCCAATATTGGCCATAGCCTATACGGCACTCCCAGACCACATTATTAATATAGGCACAGGCATAATATGAGTAATAGATACTAAGAACTGGCCGGAACATACTAGGAACTAGGTTATTCTGGTGGAGTTAAGACTATACTTCGATTACAAGTAAGCTATAGGGATTGGATGGAATGGGATTAATGGCTATTATTTTCTCTTTTTTCTTTTCTACGTTACGGCTAAATAATCCCCTAAATAAGGATATTTAGACTTCTCTTTAGGGGGGGGGTAATATGACGGCTAGTATAAGGGTATAATCTACCAAGGACAGGATATCGGAAACAGGCATAAAACGAAGCTAAGCCGGAATTACTTGGACGAAATAATACTAAAGGTCGAGACATCCTCCCTACTTTATTCCACAGCTTAGTATTTTCCAATATATGAGATTCTTTGAACTTTGAGCCTTCGACCATTGCATTGATCCCGCCGTTACAGTAAGGTTATTATCGAATTTCTAGATAATATATTTATTAAAGATATTTAATAGTAAGAAAAGAAAACCGGAAAGTAATATATTATTTGGTTTAAGTAAGCTTAGTTCTTTTCTTTTAACTAAGAGGCTAGTAGAGGCTATACTTATATTCCTGAATTCGATATCTGCTTAATTACTAATATAAAGGTATTTGAGGACCATTATATAGTCCGTGAATTCGAAATTGAGGATAAACCTAAGAAAGTTGAAGCTAAGGAAGAAGTTAAAGGAAATTAAGGCAATGGCTGGGAATAAGCTATTCAGAATAAAGAATAGGAGACTAGAGCTATTCAGGATAAAGAAAAGGAGACTGCTAGTAGTTGGGGACAGACTAGAGCTAGTAAAGAAACGGGAACAGGATAGTAGAAAGTTAGAGGTTTTTCCAAGGGATTTTAGCTACTTTGCTCGAGTTCGGAGAACTCTTATAGTTAAAGGGGGGATATTGTGACGTCAGCGTCACATGACCTGGCCCTAGCGTGGCACCCTGTACTTAGCTCGAGCTCCCCGCTCCTCTCTTCTTTTCTCTCTTTAGACGTTACATACACACCCAAAAAGAGCTGTTTACCAGACCAGGTCTTCAGCCCAGGGACGTGATAATAGGTCAACCGGACATAGGCACCGAGTGATAACAGTATGCCGTCAATGGTGGAAAGATATCCCCGAAATTACCGAGAAGTTTGCCGGTCCCTATCTCTACAGTTGGTTTATGGGGAAGCCAGTCATTTCTAGAGTGGGATGCGGGAAGAGGAACCACCCTTCTCCCTCCACATTTGAATACGCGGATGCGTATTGCGGGGTATCCGGGGAAGCATTTCCGAGAAAAACAGCGATAATCTTGATTCTGGACCCATATATAAGTTGTCCCATGACTTGGTCTCGAAATAACTGATATAATTGGTGCGCCTAGCCTTGTTCACGATTCATGAACCGTGTCCCTGGCATTGATTTGCAGGGCTTCAAGGGTAACTTCTGGACTTGCATTGTGGGGAGATAGGAATTCAACACGTACCTCGGTGTTATGATCACCGGAGGACGTTGCCGTCGCAACGTTCCCTACTATCATAAACAGTTGCCAGGATATTTATAGTCACTGGAATATGGAGCCTATGAAAGTTCGTTGGCTCCAGGTGGAAATTTTATTCAATTGATCTTCTCCACCAAGATGCATTTCTATTCGGTCCTCTGTACGGCGGCAAGCCTTCTCGGTGTTGCTTTAACTGCGAAGCTCTCGCCTGGTGAGATCTCATTCCATATTCTCAATCTCATTCTGGAATGAAAATTTAACTGACTGGCATGTAGAGGCTCAAAGCTTGTTTGACTATTCTATGTCAATTCAGGACCCAAGATGGGATGAAACATACAAGGTTGTTTGGTTCAACGATAACGGGCCATGGTCAATCCGTTTTACCGCTTGGTATACTGCTGGGTTACTTCACAGAAATCAAGGGGATGATGTTGAAAACGCCAAAGCAGCTTTGAAGGCCATGTGAGTTATTGAAAATCCCAATTATTTACCTTGGGGTGGTCGACAAATGAGACGGCTTCTTGGTTGCTCCTTGAAATTGACCGCCATTTGAGTTCAGAGACTGACGAGAACTCAGTCTTGCCGTGCAAATGAACGAGAACTTCACTTCGGCTTGGTATGGTGACTTTAAGTTATCTCCTGACGGTAAGAAACTGCTGGTTGCATATATTCTGCAAACTCACTGACATTCATCAGAACCAAACCCTCAAACTCCACTCTACACTCCAAGCATATATGTAAGCGGGTTACGTGAATCACCACGTACCACTGGTTGCTGATCTATGCTCAGGGGACGTATGATCCAAACTGGCGAGAGTTCATTGGAACTCAGCTGGTTCAAGTCGTGGAAGAATTTGAGGCACTCCTTGGCCCTGAGCTGGTGAGCGACATCGAAGCTGCAATGGCCTATGATGCCGTCGGAGCTATGAGGAGGAACGGCACGGCCCCGGACAATCTTATTCTGGCTTACAGCAATCCTGGATATATGCGAGCATTGAATGTGGGCTGGATCGGAGCTCGTCTGAAGAATCAGACTTTCATCGACTTCGGCAATACCCAAGGCAATGAGCTCTATGAACTGTTCACGAAAAACGGAGCCAATACCCTGGGAGAATACAACGCACCGAATTACTACGGCATGGACATGTGGGCTCTGGGCTCAATGGCAAAGTACGGTCCAAAGAATGCAACCTTCACCAAGCTTTCCGTGAAGATTATGACCAATATATGGGAAGATATAGCCGATCACTACAATCCGTACCTAGGAAACATGGTCGGTCCTTATGACAGAGCATACACCCGAGACATGACCGTCCACGATGCGATTATCTCGATGTTCTGGTGGGGAATTTTCGGGTACGACAAGGCTCCCATTCCTCCCAAGAGCGATCTAGACTTGAACTACGATGTTTCCCAAGGGGCCGCACTTGCGCTCATCATGAAGACCGTAGCAAGTGTTCTCTCTCCAGAGGTGACCCACAAACTCCTCACTCCTTTCACAACCGAACGCTTCCTTAACAAAACAATTTACTACAACCTCGAGACCGACGAGAAGAGAATAGTTACATCCTGGCTCAGCAAGCCTCTCATGATCGGGGGACAGCAACTCGCTGAGACAGTGGCGAGGGGCAAGCAATTTACACCTGCTATTGTGCACTGGGCTGCTGATCCTTTACATAAACCATTCCCGTACAATGGATTCTTCAGCCTGTATCCAACCGCCACGACCATTACTGCCGTGGCAGAGAGCCATCAGTTGACAATCAGCTATCCCAACATGACACAGGCTGGGACCGATTCCTTCCAGTTCATGCTCTCTGGCATCCCGCCTCCTTGGAACTTGGCAGGGAATACGGTCGACGGCTTCACGAACTTGCCTTGTTTGAAAGTCAATGTGACAGCTCCGGGGCTGGAAGTACTACCTACCATTTATGGCTCGATGATTTATGATCATTATTATTATAATATCACGTACGTGGTTCCGGAAGGTTTTGAGGGGATACCGAAGATGGTGTTTGAGATGGAGTATGTATGCTAGACTGCTGGCGAGAGCGCAAGCTGGGGCGAGAGACTAGTTGTATCGTTTCTTTTCTCTCTGAGAAGAAAAAACCAAACATTATTTGTTTAGCAAGAACTAGTCTAGTTCTATTCTCCCGAAAGGATATTTCCGCACAAATCCCTCACGATGTGCCTTGTTCCTTACTTCCTCTTCTCTCCCAGCCAGTCAACATCCCGATTACACGTTGTGGGGATTGTACGTAAGAATCAGTTTCCGAGGTTTAGTCTTTAGGCGTTATAGGAAAACAAAATGAAAAGGAGCATAGAGAATGAATGTAGAAGGAGCATGCAAGTATGCCTTCTGTTCTACTGAGTCACGTGATGTACTTCACTCTTTGATTGGGGATCTGTTGCTGAGCGCCAAATAGAAGTTGTTGTCCCTTCCTATTAATGTACTCGGTTATTTGAATCGAACGCAGTTTCCTTCTTGCCTTTTTGAAAAAGTGAATAGGGGGCACTTTGAATTTGCGCGAGCCGCGTCGCGCCTTCCAAACCTCTACCTTATTTCTGCAACTTCCGAAGCGGGCCAACCTAACTTGGAAGTTAGTCCCAGAACCTCGTATCGTAATGGTTCGCTTCGATCGAGATGGACGTAAGCACCATCACAAGTTTGCTGCGAGTTTTCCAGTGATCTTGCACGCCTGCCGCGAGTCACGCCACGAAGGCCTCAAGATGTACCAAAGAGCTTTTGATTCCAAGCGGACACTTAATGGTGTCTACTTTAACTTCGAGAAGAATACTCTCTGCCCGGATTTCTGGGCTACCACTCACAACTGGACTTCTTTGTGAAAAAGCTAAGGCCCAGTGACTTGGATCAGGTCGAAAGCATCGTTCTGAGACCACGGCTATTTTATTTTGCGTCCAAATATCCAAGACTCAAAGAAGTGATCTATATGGAATTCTTTGGTCATACCCACAATTATATGAGTACTTGTTCCACTGGAAGAGGTACTTTTCATATCGTGGAGGAGTTTGTCGAATTCAACTCGGAAAATGACTTTCTCTGCCGATACCTAGACCGGACCAGAAATGAGTTCACCAACTTCAAGGAGACCTTTGAAGAAGACCGGCCACGGAGCTAGAGTTGCAATCCAAGTATGGAATTATGTGCATAAAAGGAATTCCTAAGGCGGAAACCTATGTGTAGAGGTACGTGGAGTCGTGGTTGAGTGTCGAGAGAGGAGAGCTTTCGCCTCAACAATTTGTAACCTCGTGAGCACTCGTCTTCTATTGAAGAAGGCCTTTGATTGTATCATTAACGACAAGTACGATCTAGGCAGAAGCGGCATGGAACGGTAGCATAGCTTTATCTCATCGTTATAACTTTCTCTTCGATGCTATCGGGGCAACTTCCTACGGTAGAATCCTGGTAGAGAGAGCTGCCGATCGGTTTCTGCCTTTGAACCAGACATGCAAGCGAGGTTTCCAGCGTTTTTCGTCCCCATTATACACAAACTCCCTTTCTTCAATGGTGACAACCATTATATGATATGAAGATGGATGTTCCTCCATGGGACATTCGAAGCAGTAGACTTCTCAGGAAGCAGTGATGAGTGTTCTGAAAGGACGGGTAAAATGGAAGGAGCGAGAAGCTTCTCAGATGGCAATGGTGGATGTTCCTCGGGTTTGCGGTATAATGAAGGAAATGACAGTTGACAGAAGGCACCTGAATGTCCAAACTCAGCTCTGAATATTCTCTTTAATTGTTTGTGAGCATCTATCTTACTAATTCCCCTTCCACTTCCCAAACCTAGCATAATCCCTATAAAGCGTTGCAAACACAGCCCGTCCGCTCGCATCCAACGCATCATTAATAGCCCTCCTCAACTCCGGCGTTGTGGTATCAAAAATCGCGTACAAGCCTGGGACCATTTTCTCTCTGATCTCAGGCAACATTCTCATCTCCAGTTGTAGCTTGATGTATATCGTGAGCACGAACTGCATATGTTGTCCTGCCATTCTCTTCGCCTTGTCGGTTGCTGATGTTAAGTTATTGTGCTGTGATCCTCGTACGGAAGAAACTGAAGGGTCGCAGATGAGCGTTACCAAGCGAGCAAAAGCAGCGGCGTGCTTGCCATTAAGTTGGTGTTTTGGGGAAGATAGCCAAGATGGTGGAGAGCCAAAGTGCTTTAGAGCATTGGATGTGCTGTGTGGGAGGGGTGTAAATAGGAGCCGGAGCAGTGATTGAATTACTTGGACTACGAGGTGGAAGTGGCCTTGCAGTTTTAGACGGTGGTGTGTGAGTACGGATTGGAGGAGGCGGCATAGGTGGAGATAGATTGTTCCAGAGCGTGTTGCGCGGAGGGGTGGGCTGTTCCGGGAACAGAGGATGGTTATGCTGCCGAGGGTTGTGTCGATGTTGAATTGTGTCAGGGAACGGCCCTGTCGATGTTAGAGAGACTGGGTTGAATGGATGGGAGAGGGGTTACCTTGGTTTTTAACATCAGCTCAAGAGTCTCGCTAATGACGCAGAACTGCCGGACGCCAGACGCTTTCCAGAGAGTACTGCAGAGAATGGAGTACGCTTCTGATAAGTCAAGACCGACTCCGTCCTCTTTCTTATTATCTTCGTTTTCTTCCTCTTCCGCTGCTTTGCGGGTATCTTCCATTGATATGATGACTTGCCTAGCCGCAAGTAGTTTGTCAAGTCGACTCAACCCGACTAACCCTAGTCCGAAGATCGAGTCAAGTAGCTTGAGCTTGTCTAATTTATCTTTGCTGTTCATCGATGCTAATACCTTCTGCGTGATTGACTGCCTGCCATTTACGGTCGAGACATCACCCTCAAGGAGCTCTTCTTCGATAATATTTGATCCATGAACAGCTAAAAATGTCTCAAGTCGCTTTCCAATATGCAATTCGGTATCCTGAACCCGGGAACAAAATGCTTTGGTGTCATCCCCGAGCTCCGCCACTTTCGATGGGTCAACTCCCAAGGCACCGAGAGCATCCATGATGCTCAGAATTGTCAAGTGTTCGGTAAGCTGACTGGTCTGGCGTTTGGTCGACTTCTCTTTGCGGGTTCTGTGGAGAAACTCTTTCAACTGCTGTAGAAGTCCAGATTTAAAAGTGCCCGTAATGCTGTCCAGGTCGTCCTTGGTTATAACATTCAGGTCATCTAGTGCAGTTGCTTTGGTCTGGAGGATAGAGAAAGCTGCTCCGAATATCATGATCAAGGCATAGTTGAGTCTATACTTATTCTTCTCGCTGGCCTTCTCTACCTTCTTTCGAATCTGCTTAAAAGCGTCGGAGATGTATGCTTTTTGAGGAGGCTGATCGATGTTCGTATGGACGAAGCTATGGACCGATTAGGAGTGAAATACCACATGAAGAGGCAGAGCTTACACAAAAGTCAGTCTTGTCACTTCTTTGAGCAAAGCAAGATTAACTTGTCGACGAGGAATCTCGGCGTGTGCCAAAGTATCTGCAAGATGCACAAGCTCCTTGAAGTTCATTCCCTGACAATATTAGATTCATTTCGTCAATACTGACCAGCTTTTGCTTACTTCATAGAGCACAGGGCGTTGCATAAACTTAATCTTCAGACTGAGAACAGCAGGATCTAGGGCGGTTGATTTATATGACAGTCCTTGGGAGTCATCCGCTGCAGAGTCTCCGGTTGGAAGCCAGCTTCTGAAAATCCTCTCCCTTGTCTTCTTGTTCTGAACGAGTGAAACGGGCACCTGGAGTAGGGACTTGACTGCGAAGGCATTGGTGCCGGACGATCTGATAATCGGGTTGCTTATGTTGGTCTGGTTTTGCAACATGGTGTCGATCAATATTTCTATATAGGCAAGAAAATTAGAAATTTGGTAAGAGAGATGGAACAGTAAAATCATTGTTGCTTACCGATAAGTGGTTCACTGTTGAGTACGTTCTCGCTGTGCAAAATAGTCATCCATAAGTCAGGATACGCTTTAGGATTCAGTCGCAACCAATCAATCGAGGCAACCGAGTTTTCTGGAATGCTGGCAGAAGCTATCCAGAAAACATTTTGCAACATATCCTTGAATAATTTGCGGTCTAGTTCAAGCCCAAGCCTATAACAATTAGTCAGTGCATCTGTATGCGAATTCCGGATTCATGTGAAAGACTTACTCGAGTATCTTCGGGTAGTCAACAAACACAGATTTAGCCAATGACCAGGTTGTCCATCCTAATCCTGGTTCTAATGCATTGTGGGTCGAGCCGCAAACCTCACTGCCCAGATCTTCCCCTCCTTTGAGTTCTCCAGTTCTCCATTTCATCTCTTGGGCCAGTTGCCGAAGAACGTTGAGTGCGAATGGCTTGCACGAGGCTTCCATCGGGCTGTCTTTTCCCGCGGAATTCCACGCGGCGCAAAGAAATCGTACAACTTCGAGTTTCTCCAGTGGAGACGCATTTCCAATAACGTTAGAAAGACCTTTGCTTAACAAAGACTTGAACGGCTTGACTCTTGGAACCTGTCCCCATAATTTGGCGAGCTCGCTAACATCAGGAGTCATCAGCCAATCTAATGATCTAGAAAGAATCCTCCAGGACCGCCATTTGTACCTGTCATCCAACTTGTCAGAGACGCCATTATCAAACATAATACGATAAAGTCGTAGTCCTATAGTATCAACTACCTCCTCGTGATGAATGGATCCGGCAATAGCTTCGAGGAGGATGCACACTGCATCAGGATGCTCAGTGACCTCAAACAAAAGCCAGTCGAGGATTTGAGTGATTTGCTGAAGAGTCAGAGATGGTTCCAATAACTTGCTAAGCTGTGATTGAAGGGCATCGTCTTCCCAAGCACCGAAGCCCATATCGAAGCGCCTAGCCTCTTTTCGAAGCCTGTCAAACTCAATAAGTTGTGCAAGCCAATGCCGAAGAAAGCCAGGCAGATCTCGAGCTTTAGCGAAATCGCCCATGAGAGGAACCAGAACTTCTGAAACAACTTGATCAGAGAGCAGAGTCCATGAATCCTCGATCGAGGTTTTGGTAATCCTATCGAGAAGTTCCTTGAGTAAGTCTCGCTCCTCGTTGGGGATGAGGAACACATTTGCATCGAGCTTTATGATTGTTGCCAAGAGATCCCAACTATCTCGTCCTTCAGGCAGGGCGTATTCCGAGGTCATAATTTGCAAGTCCGCGAGATCAAGACCGAGTTTGTGATCTATAGCACACTGAAGCAAAGCACCAATAGCCTTCCTATTGCTTGCAGCATTTTGTGCTGGCATTGCATCTTTCAGTGCCTTGAAAACTGTCTGGAGCCACGTGTCATCATTTGGTCGTCGTCGCCGAGATCCATGAGGTTGAATTGACCGAATTGCAACTTCAAAGAGTTGAGAAGTATTGGCCGTATCCTGGAGAACAGAGAGTTTCGTCAACCTGGACAAGAGGTCGGAATCTGGGTTTACCCATTTTGCTGCCTTCGCTGGGTTCATTATATTCCGAGAAATAAGTTGCTCCAATTGTGGTGCCCAGTCAAATTTTGAGAATTTGCGATCTTTCACTGCACGGAGCAGAGATAGAATCGGCGGAGTGCAATGTCGAGAAAACAGTATCAGTGAAGTTTCTTCTGCCTCTGCTGTATGGCTGTTCCATATCTCGATAAATGGTGCAATCCAGCTTTGTAAATTCTCTGTGTCCGGGTCCCCAATTTCGAGGGCACTCTGGCACAGAGAAATCCACGATCCCAGAACTACTGCTGCCTCCTCCGCAGCTGTTCTGATTACAGTCTTCATATACTCTGCTGAAAATGACGAATTTGTTCCTTCCTCAGAAGTACTCGCGGTTGACTTGGTAGATGCTATTATGACATCCATGACTGAAGATATGGCACCGATCAAGTCCGGTAAGTCGTCGTTTTGGCAGCTGGAACTCCCGACCAGCTCCCCTGTATGCTTTCGCTTCTTGGAAGGTTTCCGTTGCTTTTTTTCCTCTTCAGAACCCGAGCCAGATGCTGACACAGCATCCAACATATCTACTTCTCTGGGTGACGTCCGTACTTCCTCCAATGTCTGTTTTAGAATCGACATGAACTTCTTTTCGATGAGGGCTCGGGCTCCGGTGGACAGAGGAAGAACCTTCAGAAGATAGCATAATAACCGCCATGATGACGGTGTATTTCTAATTCACATGTCAGAGTTAGTCTTCACTAAATGAGTGAAGTATACCTTGGTTTAACATCTGCAGATGCGTGCAACCTCTTCAGCAGCCACTTCAACAACCACTCTTCCCTCCCATGGTATATAGCTATTCTTAGCTTCTCTCCCCCTTTAATAACACCTTGTGTACATCTGCCAATCGTGGCCAAATCAACTCCAACAAACTTCGCAGCCTCCCCAAGTTGTTGGTCGAATGGCGCACGCTGCTTTTCCAGTTCAGCGAGATCTTCTTGCGCAGTGCGAGATTTGGACGTCTAACACAGCCTGAATCAGCAAAAGCCCCTTCTTCCGCAAGTATTTGAAGGTCTCCTTACCATCGTATTCGAATTTGTTCAAAAATCTGCACTTGTCACAGCGAATTTCCAAACTCATCTCGCAGTCAAAAAATTCCCCATTGTAACCGGCAGAATTCCGCTCCACCATTCCTCATTTGGCTTCGCTGTTGACCGCCCCAAAATCTGGCGATCCGGTTCCTGGCGACGAAAACGACATTACAGCTCAGAACCATACATTTCCTGCTTCAACAAATCTCGCGGTATGTCAATTGGCCCCTTGAAGCTGCAGAGAATAATGGAGATGAGGCTGACGGTAGATAGGAAGAAAAAAGATGCCTGAGACGTCGATTGCTCCTCCGCCCGTGCCGGCAACACGACCTGCAAAGCCCGTTTCCGAGGCGCTTTTGAATGAGAAGGTATACTTCCTTCCCTTACCCGCTTCTATATCTTCCTCTTAAGCTAGAGGTGACTTGCTATGTAGGTTGGTAAGGGGAATGGGGCTAATGGGATGCTACAGTGGGACCGCTGCCTCTCCTCCCTCCTGATCCGATCATCACTCGGTCTCTCCTTCGGTGTCGTGTTCTCGGTTCTACTGTTCAAGCGGAGGGCGTGGCCTGCGTGGGTTGGGTTGGGATTTGGTGCGGGAAGGGCTTATGAGGAGTGTAATGGGAGCTTTTTGAGGACGGGGAGGGAGGGAGTTAGAATTCAACGACCGTGAGGAATGAGGGCAATATGGTGGGATTAGAGGTGAGAGCGTGCATTAGAAATGACGGGAGATTGATAGGTGGAGGTGTATGATTGTACAAAGAATACTTGGCTGGCTGTGGGAACGGAGATAATACAACTTTCTCAACTTTGTTGGTCTGCCGAGGCACATGGTTTGCTCTGAAGCTTCCTGGCATAGAAAAGAAGTCTTTGCTATGTTCACTGCAGATTCCGCAGAAGAGAAAGTGCTTTCTGTATTGTATGGAATGCCCAACGGATTGTTCTACTGCCTGCAGTACACATATGCCTCTTGTTCCTATTCAACGCTTAGTCTACCATTCTCGCGCAATTCTCGACCCAAAATGGTTGCACTCCAAGTCTACGAAGGACATATCATGAGTCCATACTCCGTCTCCTCCCCTCCAAGCCACACTCTCCGTCGCAATCCTCCCTGTGGCGCACACTCACGCTCCTGCTTCTCGGGCTCGAAACATCGTTCGTCCCGTCGCCGCACCTCTCTCTATCATATCCATACCCCCAAATATAAATCCCTCTCGGTATGCCGGTCACCACCCTCTCCTCATACGTATCGTGTCTAAGCAGACCTCTCCTCTCGCCTTGCCTTCCCCTCCTTTCCTCTCCACGTTCACCCCTCCGAAACCCATCAAAAAATCCCATTGCCGTCCGCCCCACATCTATTCCAAACTGAAACGCCTTCTTCGGAGCCTCCTCAGCTCTCTTCACATTCTTTTTCGTCTGCTGGCCCACATCCAGATCATCCATCTTTCCTCGGACGAACTTGACGCAGTGTGAGAGGGCGATCCATGCTAGCCAGGTGACCAAGGCGAGAAGCGCAAGAATAGCAAGTAAAAGGAGGAACATTTCGATAGGGGTTGCGATGGCACCAAGACCGGAGGTGTGTGGACGGTTAAGATAGTGGACTTGCGAGATTGATGGTATAGGTTGGAGGGGAGAGCTGCGGTGTGATGCTGACCTGTCGTGGAGGCGTTTGTGCACGAAACGGGCTGACATATTGGAAGATGATCTGAAGAGATCAAGGGTGGACTAGAGAGGAACCGGAGAGCTGGTGATGTGTGCTGGGCACTGTGTGTGTGACCATTGACGTTGGGGGAGAGAATGGCTGGTTCTTGCCAAGAATTGTAACAATATTAGTAAGTGTTTCGATGGAACGTGCTCTAGGTGTTCAAGGTAAAATCTTGAGATGGAAGATTACTATTGCAAGTTATTTTGACCTCTGTCCAGTGTCCCTTCTCTTTTTGAAAGTTGAAGTATAGGTATGCTGCGAGATGGCCTCTAGCTGCCATTCGCTCAAGGAAGGATCGCCCAAGGGATACTTTTGCCTTCTGTGAACAATCAAACAGAGCGAAACGACATTAGAAATATCCAATCAGGACTTGAATTTGCTACTGGCAAAAAATGACGTTGCTCGTCCTGAAATTCAACGAAGATTCTCTAGGGATCTGATAAGTCACTTGAGGTCGAGACTAGAGAAGAGCGCGAACTGTAGCTTCCGGTAGGGAAATCTAGTCTTGGACCGAAAAGGTCAAACTTTCCATGAATAAATACTGAGCGGCCAAGGCGCTTTCTTTATAGGCATAATATCCTTCAGTAGAGAAAGAGCGGTGGTCACATGTGAATTGATATTTCTCCAGCCTTTGTCTGAGTTCTCGAAGCCACGGATATGCATTGCGCATACCCGCAGTATCGATTGCCTTCGAGAGATTGGTGTTCGTCTCATCCAACTTTCGAATCGCTACTGCTGATACAGTTGCCAGGAGATATCGGGGGCATCTTTCTGACAAGCCAATCGAGGTTGAGCGAACCAACACTTGGCACGGCTTGCAAGGCTAAACGTAAGATTTGCGCTTTCTTGAAACGGACGATTGCGAAATGCGAACTGAAGATCAAAAACAGCTCGTTCTCCAGTAACTTCGGTCGTGTCGGGGTCTGACATTTCGTCTTCTAGAAGGAGAATCGAACCGAATTCGACATCCCGTCGCAAAGGAACTACTCTGCCGATGAGCTAGGCCCACTCATCGCGTGGCAAGACATGGATTCCCTAATCCTTCTTGCCCCACGAGATGAAACGGATACAGTAGAAGTTGTTGGCATACAGTAATGAATTATGAAACGCATCAAAAAGGAGATGAATCAGAAGATTCAACCTACGACGGAGTCATGAGGACCTCGAAAGAATCGGAATCTCGAGCCGCCTCGGCCAGACTTTCTACCCACTTTTCTGAAAGATTCAGCCAAGCCTTTGGTGGCCGATCTTAGGGAAAGAGGCGGATCCAGACGAGTGGAGAACGGTGATGAGGCAAAGCCTTTGTGCTATTGGACATGGATATGTTTCTGTGCGTTTCACAATTTTGCGGTGTCTTATGCAAGTGGGAGGCTCGAGCGGGGAATGATGGATGAACTCTGTGCGGTGGGCCACCTCAGAACATGAAGATCACCTTGACAGACGGGCCACTGCTAAAGTTGTTATGTGCGTTAAGTGGCACAAACATCGCGAACATGTACGGTCTGATCCTCCAGCTTGATTCATCACCATGCATGCACAGAATACCGCCCCCAAGGCTATCTCCGTGCCTGACTATTGGACAGGGTCTCGACGAGGAGGCGTTCTGGCTGCAGCCGAGCAAATTGTCCCGACCACCTCTGTGCCTGAGAGTCCCTGGGAGATCAGGTTGCATCTGGGGCGAGATTTTGAGGTGATTTTCTGATGCCTCACCTCTGGCAAGGGAGATCGTGACTCAAGCTAGAAATAGAACTCAACTTTGGCAGCAGATCTGTTTGCTGGATCAGTTTCTGAGACGAAACTCGTTCTCCTTTTTACCCAATCCCGGACATTTAAATTCATCATTCAGGCATCGGGCTGCTCTTGCGCCTTTGATCCTGGTGTCAGGAGAAGACCCTTGAAGCGAGTCCACGGTAACCCGCATCCCTTGTCGGCACAGCGGGCGCTGACCTGAGCCTGGCCGAAAGGGGGGAGAGAAGGTCGAGGAGACATGACTGCCCCGCGAGTCACGGCTTTCTTCTTTGATGTTGAATGCCTTTTCTTGCAAACCTCACGAGACACACTCACACTCACGACGGCATCCGGTCAGCAGCACCAACTCGCACCGACTTTTATATCAAACTCTAACCTATTTTCAAGGAGATCGCCGCTTGTACACTTGCAGCTGCTGCTAGCAACTCGTCAAATAGGCACTAACCTAAACGAACACCACTAGCCCGCCTCTCCATCCTGCACCTCCTCTCCGTCGCTCCTCCTTTGCATTACCAAACATCTACTCTTTGCAAATCCCCTCGAAATATCCCAATCGACGGCGCGTTTCCTCTGCACGACCTTGGACGGCGGAAGGACGCGATTCCTCTCAGGTACGTCTGATCAGTGAACTCTCATCAATCCCAAACACCAGTAGGCTTGCCAAGCCAAACTTCCTCTCAAACTTTTGGCTTCGGGCTTGCAAAGCTTCAACAGTTGAACCGCTACTGCGCTTCGTTAACCAACACCTGACCCGCCGCTGTCCTATCTCGCCATCATTGCTGTTGCTGAAAGCAGCTTCGTGACTGTCTGACTCGAGATCGGATTGAAAGTGAAGGGAAATTTCGCTAATTCACTTCGCTTCAGAACTGCCATTTCCCGCATCCAACTTTGGACCATCATCGTCAGCATCAGCGCATCCACAACCTTCCCAATTCCCGATCGCGCGAGCGGATACATAACAAACCGGCAAGATGGGTTGCGGTATGAGCACAGAGGAGAAGGAGGGCAAGGCCCGGAACGAGGAGATTGAGAACCAGTTGAAGAGAGATAAGATGATGCAGCGAAATGAGATTAAGATGCTTCTTCTCGGTCAGTATATGGGAATCGACCGAAACAGCAGGCGCTAGGCCCGTTGCTAATGTCTCTGTAGGAGCCGGTGAATCTGGAAAGTCGACAATCCTGAAGCAAATGAAGCTGATCCACGAGGGTGGGTACTCGCGCGATGAGCGCGAATCGTTCAAGGAAATCATCTTCAGCAACACAGTCCAGTCAATGCGCGTAATCCTCGAGGCCATGGAGTCGCTCGAGCTTCCTTTGGATGACCAGAGAGCCGAATACCATGTTCAAACCATCTTCATGCAACCGCAACAAATCGAGGGTGACAATCTTCCTCCGGAGGTTGGTGGTGCCATTGCTGCTTTGTGGAGAGATGCCGGCGTTCAAGACTGCTTCAAGCGATCAAGAGAGTACCAATTGAACGACTCTGCGAGATAGTAAGTCTCATTTCTCCATTTTCAATCTGCACTCGGTATCCCAGCCGAGCTAGCGAACACTGTCGCGCGAGGGGTCGGAATCGCTCCGAGAACTTCAATGATTGCAGTCAAGTGGTGTCAGGAATGCCGTCAGTTGCAGAGGCCAATATCAGCCGGCGCCGAATACTCGACACTTTAGATTTTGCCCTAGTCAAAGTGATCAGTCGCTAACGTACTGTTTGTGCTCAGCTACTTCGACAACATTGACCGCATTGCCCAGCCCGACTACATGCCAAATGACCAAGACGTCCTCCGATCGCGTGTCAAGACCACAGGTATCACGGAAACCACCTTCATCATTGGAGACCTCACTTACCGCATGTTCGATGTTGGTGGACAGCGTTCCGAGCGTAAGAAGTGGATCCATTGCTTCGAGAATGTTACTACTATCCTCTTTCTCGTTGCCATCTCCGAGTACGACCAGCTTCTTTTTGAAGATGAGACCGTCAACCGTATGCAGGAGGCGCTCACATTGTTCGATTCCATCTGCAACTCGCGCTGGTTCATCAAGACCTCAATCATCCTGTTCTTGAACAAGATTGATCGTTTCAAGGAGAAGCTCCCAGTCAGCCCAATGAAGAACTACTTCCCCGATTACGAAGGTGGTGACGACTATGCTTTGGCCTGCGACTATATCCTGAATCGCTTCGTCAGCTTAAACCAGCACGAGACGAAGCAAATCTACACCCACTTCACTTGCGCCACCGATACCACCCAGATCCGATTCGTCATGGCTGCAGTCAACGGTATGTAATAGTGCTGGACTTCTCGTTATTCACCTACTAATTACCTACAGATATCATCATTCAAGAAAACCTCCGTCTCTGCGGTCTCATCTAAACCCGACTGCTTCACCTGAACGATTTCCTTGACTCGAATACATGGCGTTCTGCAAAACAGGGGGCACTTTACTATACCACACTGGCACAAACCACAAATCGTGTCTCTTCTCCATATCGTCTTGGCTGCTTCTTCCGCGGACTGGATACACCGATATAGGGAGACAGGCTGATTCTGCTGGACAGCTTGCGATGCCTTTGTTTCTATCGACTTCACTGTGTTTATTTTCCTTCCGTTTTCGGGGCGCCTTTCCTCCTGGTTAGCACAGGCAATTCCTTTCTTGACAATCATTGAGAGGAGTTGTTTCTTGCTGCTTCCACCATTGTCGAGTACCCGTTTCTTCGAATTTCTAGTTTTCCATTTTACTTTTATTAATAGGCTACGACGAAAATCCTACTGGTTGAAGTCGATCCTCTCCCTCAATGGAGGACAAAATGATGGGGGATGATGTTGCATGTAGTTGATGAAGTTGCGGAGTTGATATGATAGGGTGGCGGTGGGGCGCTGGCGGGCTACACATGCGAGGAAGGCCGGAGAGAAATGAGTGGGATGTATTATGTCTGCTGGATGCCGGCTTATGTGCTGCCAAACAAAACTCATGGGAGAGCGGTAGTTCAATAGAGATGATTGATAATGAGGTCTAGTGATGCTCTGTGATTTACTGCTTTCGACCCTGCTGAACGTAGGCTCCGACATTCTTCCTAACATAGCGGCTGGAAGTAGAATTTCACGTCAAGTGTGCAAAGTCTTACGTTAGGGATTTCCCCTCAGATATGGTAAGAGATCTGGGGCGAACAATGAGCGGCTGGATTGGCCTCGGGGCAAGGAGCAGGAAGCAGTCGGGATAGCTAAACACCACGCAGCAGACACCTCCACAGGCCACCTTCAATTCTTGTCAAAGCTGGTTTGGCATACTCGTCTTGGAAGGGTTCAAAGGCTGAAATGATTCCACCGTCGGATGCCCCTGAAGGGTGTATACTTGACAGCAATTCATAAAATGGACTGGATTGATGCAGATGGGTTTGAAGACATATTTTCTCTGATATTGTGGAATTTCGTTGTCAAAGAGTAATTTGTTGAGTAAAAAGATGGCGGTGGTAGCTGTGCAGATGGGAAAGGAAATAGGGATGTTTGGAGAGTCCCCCTAACCCTTCGTTGATAGAGAATGGATATCGGAGGCCTTGTTTCTCATCTCTTTGGGAAGAGGCTCCTTCAGGTTATTTATAGGCTTGGCTCGATATGAATTTAGTTTGCGTACTTTCTATCAATGGGAATGAAAAACTAGGTTATTTGATAACCGCAAAAGTCTATGCTTGATATGAGGCTGGTGCGTTGAGAAGTCGAGTTGGTGGCACCAAAATGATTGGTTCATATCAGGCAGCCACGCCTTCCCGCCACAACCTGATGTTATCAACTTCTCCAGCCTGTCCACCTCCAAATGTCTACAACTTCATCAACATCGCAATGATATCCCATCCCCGGGTTTCTAATCAACCTCAACCATCTCCCGAACTCTACTGAGGTCTACCCTGCCCGGAATCAAAATCACGATGCACTATTTATCACTGCAGCTGCTGATAGCACTCAGCCTTATCTTTCAGCTGATCGCGGGACTTGTGACTTTGCAAACGATTAGGAACTTGACGACTTTGACGGATGAGTGCAAGGATATGATTGTGGATAGTGGAGGAGTGGTGGTTGATGAGTTGGCGAGGGTGCTCGGAGGAGGTCAGGTGGTGTTGAATAGTGGGGAGGAGGTTGAGGATGTAAGTTCTGATGTCTGCTCCTGGGATGGCTACAGATGGAAAAGTAAAGGGAATGGTAGCGATAGAGGCTGCAAGTGTTGGGGGTGGATCAAAGTAGTGCAACAACTGAGTCCTGAGAGAGGCACCCTGCTAGCTCAGTCCGACTCAACAATGCTCGACACGTGGATAGAAGTGGATTCAATCACGGAGTTGAAGACTCCAGAGCTAACAACACCATAGGCAGTCGCCGCAGCCCTAAGAATGCTATGTTCAGACCTCTTGATCGAGCTCGAGAAGCCGCTATCTTCTTCTACGCCCCACTTGCCTGAGGTACTTCGCCTTCCCCCACCTGCTAAGAGCCCCACTGATATCCGCTTTTAGAAACAATGCCAAGTAGTCAAGAAAGAGTACCACGAATTTCTAGCCTCGACCGTTCAGTTTCTGCATGAAGTTCAAGAGAGACAAATGCTCTGGCATTGGGGGCCTTACTCTCCTGTCTTTAATGCTCTGGTTTGGATGCAGGGACTTTGGGCTAGTCGGCAAGCGGTAAGCTTTCTCATTTGCTGCCAATCGCCATGGTGTTGCCTCTCACTGTCTCCCACAATATGGGCTCTTTTGATGCTTGAAAGTCAGATCCCAACGTATCTAGAGAAGCAAGCCAGGACAGCAGATTGGTCGTTCGAGAGCCCTTGCTAATACTTGGACAGAATAACCAAAACAGGAGTTTTATAGAGCAGCAAATGGGTCTATATTCAGCGACCGGCTGCTTTGGGAAGAGCCAAGAGGTTTTGCGGAGGGATGTGGAGCTGGTGGAGTATATGAACGACTTGATTGATACTTTCAATTGATTGAAGCACTGGTAAAAGGCGATTGTCCAGCAAGGCTGGGAAGAATCAGATTATCGAATATCAGAGAAAGACGTCTTGAAAGCGTCTAAACCCGATGGGGACAATGAGTCATTGTATGAAATGCATAGCGTTTCTCTTCTACCAAATATGGAAAGCCCTAATGCGCCTGATCCGATCGGAGCAATGAGCGATTAGTGTATAGTGCATACCCTTTCTCTTCCAAATATAGAAGCCTCCTTGTCCCGAGGCGATTATAAAAGCCAGTCAGCCAGCAACACGCAATGGACGTCGGACTTTAGGCATGTACAGCCCCTCCCATGGCGGGAGTGAGGAGAGTGTCCGGGATACGTCCGTTTGTTCATTGGTATTCTTCACCAATTCTTCACATGTTCGCCCGTCCATTGATATCAGTCTGTCAACTCTCGTAGTAGCAAGAGATAGCCTTCGAAATATTCTGTGTCAACAATTCCGTCGTTGTCACAGACGAAAGTTCATCCAATATGTTCCGCAGAAAGCAGATAACTCCGGATGACAAGAATGGAATAATCGTCACATCTTTTTTGTCATCGCACACGATGACACCATTGCCCCATTTGACAACAAAACGTGTCACTTTCTCGGTACGTTTGTAAGACTTACTAAAATAAATGGAGTATCTACGAAAGGCATGATCGTGAAAGTGAAGGACGGCAGTAGAGGACAGAGAGGAGTAAGCAGCATGTAGAATAGTCCTTGGTCGAGTGGGACAATCGTAACTATCACTTGGATGGTCTTAATCTTAAGATCGGTTGGGGCGAACGAGCGTGTTTCGTTCGGTAGAGAGCTTTGCCGAATAGTTGTGGGAAGGTTGTTGCATTCTGAGAGAGAAATTGGATGGCGCGTAAAGAAACACTGACCTTTGGACCTTGGCCTACATTAGAATTCAAAGGCTCAGGACGGTTGTTGACTTGCTTGTGGAAGTGACGCTGACTTGGGAAGTCAGGATTCGTGCAATGTGCAACGAAACGAAGGCCATGGATGGATGCAGGTAGATTGAATGTAGTTCGAGTCTAGATAGAATTGTGGAGGATAAAGGTGTACATTGAGCGAGATCCTTGTTGAGAAAGTCCAATAATGCTAGAACAATCATAGATATTAGAAATACACCTCTTTATACACAACGTACAACATCTCAGCTGAGCAATGACCATCGCTTCCAAAGACCCCTCGAAAGGCTATACAAGTCCATTATCCGCCATAGGAAATTCCGTGTTCCCAAACAAGCGGAAGAGAGTCGACTGCCATGCATCACTGTACTGTTCTGTAGACAACCAGCCACCATCATCAGCATCGTCATCCACCATATACCCAGCTCCACTCCCTGTCTCTCTCGAATCGAAGACACTCTGCATCCCACCCATCGGGTTCACTCTCGAACCTTCACTTCTCTCACCCTGTTGATGAACGGGATTCACCGAGTGGAGTTGAGTCTGGTTGGCAAAGCCTAGACTCTCACGATCAAAGATCGCCCACTCGTTGTCGAAGCTCTCAGCATTGATGCCGAGCATTGGATCTGGGTCTGGTGCTGGACGAGGCGTATGCATGTTTTGCAATGCGGATTCGAGACGGGAGGCCAGTCGGTGACGGAGGGAGGGAGAGGGTTGGTGGGTTAGGGTTAGCATGTTTAGATGAGATTGGATTTGGATGAAATCTGGTGGTTTGTTAGATTAAGGATGATGGATGGGAAAAGGAGGAAGGTACCGTCTGGCTCGGAGATGCCACCTTCGACTCCTTGCAAGACGAGAAGAGCGGCCCAGGTTATCATCTGTTCTGTTAACTAGGAGTAGAGAGGATGTTGGAGCGCAGCTTACTACAAGATCCCAATTTGACCAGATTCCCTTGTCTTCGTTTTGAAGTTTCAATGTTGCTCGGGCAGAGACCAGGAGTTCATGACGCTCCATCGAAGCTACATTGTTGGAAAAGAGGTCGAAGCCTCGAGCGGGGTGGTAGATTGAAAGGACGAATAGTCGGTGGAGGCTGTATTGCCGAAAGATCATCAGACTGTCGTGTTCAGGGTCATTGGGCTCTTCAGTTAGGCGTCAGTCCTGCAGCAGAAGGGTGCAAATGGCAACAAACTGTTCCATAATACAAGCCAATCATCCAGCTGTCTTGCCCATTCCCGGATTACTTTCCCGTCTGCTTCGGTGAAGACGGAAGGTGGCCGAGGAGAGGTTGGAACTTGATTCGAGGAGATGAACGCCCAGATGGTGGGGAGGCCACGCCCCGTGAAATGGCTTAGTCCGAAGTGCATCATCTGCGTGAGACTGTAAAAGGGATCTTTTGCGGAGGTCTGCAGCTGCCGCAGGGAAGGGAGGGGCGCTTCTTTGGGCACAATTGGACATGACATATGGAGGGAAGCATGCTCGAGGTCAATGATCTGTTGCATACGTGAGCAGGGATGTCTGCGGAAGTATATGGGGGATGAGTGAGGAGGCGTGATGCAGATTGTGGAGACTTGGTGGCTTCGTGGGAGGCGATGCGATATCTGGTAAAAGGTGGTGAAGTCATTGGAGATGCCCAACTCACTTGCAGCCCAGAAAACAGTCCTTGCCATTCATGAGATCTCTCATCGATGTGAACTGGACAGAAATCAAGTGTGAGGCGGTATCCCATCGATATCCAGAGCCCCGTGGTCTCAATAAAAGCTTCTGAGATCAGCCCAGCAAGGATCAGACCGAGAACATTTTGGAAAGCTTTCTGCTCCTCGCTCAGCTTTGCATTCTCGGTGATGATGGTGCCCGACTCAGTCCGTTGAGCTGCTTGAACTGGGACTGCCAACTCCGAAATTGCGTTGCAGGTAGCAACAAAGTAGGCAGGCGCGAGGGCCGCAAACTCGGGCGAGGAGTGATGGAGAGCAGAAACGTAGAGTATAGCTGCAAGGAGAAGGGGCGTGGGGGTGGACGATGTTTTCTTCTTTGATAGGAAGTGAAGACCCGGCATATTTTTGTGAAACCTAACATCAACTCAGATACCCAAATCAAGTTTCTCCCGTTCAACTTACGAAAGCCAGAGCTGTTGGATTACCCCACGTTCCCATATATTGGAGGGTTGAGGAGGCCTCGTTGCCTCTTTCAGGTATGTTGCAGCTGTCCAAACTCCATGAAAAGGAGAGTCCACTTCAGCAGAGCGAAGGGTAACGTCATCGTCAACATGTTGCTGCCCAGGTGAAGCAATACCGAGTAGAGCTTCGATTTTCTCTAATCTGCTGAGCACGGTTTGAGGATCGAGTGATGGCTGGGCAGCAATCCGCCTCCCAGAACTCTCGGATGTCGGCCGAGGGCTAGAAGGTTCTTGAACAACAGCGGCCTGGGCAATTTAGCTGGGATGAAGATGCTCTGCCCACTGATGCATACTGACATTCGCCCGAGGTTTGAATATGCATGGCGTGTTGTTCAATCGACATCTTCGGCATGAAGCGCTTCGGTCCGGATCAACCTCACATTTCATCTGAATTCGTCAGAAAAGGCGTAAAGGGGGTGCGAACAGATATTGCCACCTTCTGCCGGCGACAATTGACTGGGGAATAATCAGCACGGAATCAGACGAGTTTACGTGTTGCTCACCGCAAGCCTTTGTGGGTTTGGGACCCAAGACTGTGGCGGCATGTTTGCTGCTCATCGTCTTGGCTCAATGTTCCACGTGACAGATCAAGACTACAAAAAGGGGGGAGTATGGTAGCATGGGACGGTTGTTTACAGTACTCGGTGACGGGCCTGTGAGTCGTGCGTTTCTTGTGGGCCTAGTCCCTTTTGGGATTTACAATAAGAGCGGGGCCGCTGCAGATCTCGCCCAGAACATGCATGTACCCTCGATTTTCACGATGATTATGCACCCTCAAAACACGCGCAGTAACCTCCAACTCTTGTAACTCTCATAATGCGAGTATGGTGATCCTGCCAATGCGAGCGATCTTCATCTTACCACGGGAACTGTCAACCCTCGCCGGGTGGTAACATCCTAGGGCAATATCGATGGTTTGCATTTGCCCTGGTCCGTGAAAGTCCGCTCTTCAAGGTTGGCAGATCGATCGGTGACGGAAACGTGATAGGTGAGTTGAGAAACTCTGGGGAAAGCCTGGGAGACGGAGAACGCTCCGCGAAAGGCAAATGTGAAGTATCTTTGTGAGACCGACTCAGACAACCAAGGCAACACTGGTGGTCTGTGGCTGCTCCTGCAAGAGGCTGGCTGTAGTTTTATGAAAATGAGAGATTGAGCAGCACCACATCTACCTCAACGGTTGTAGTATAACTCACAGCAGAGTTCATCTTGAAACTGATAGAAAAGCTCAGGTGACTTGCTAGGTCCCCAGTTCCCGCCCCGCTTAGGAAAAAGCACAACGGATTATTCTCGGGCCGGGCGACCGCCCTGAAAATTGCCGAGTCGATGGCTGGCCAGGCTGGCACACCGCAGCAGCCATCACATCACTGTGCATCCAACATCAATCACCATCCCCGCCTCTGCACCACAACCACCTCACCCATCCTTTGGGAAACATGTTCGAGCCAAATTGGATCTCGTAATTGCGCCCGACCAAAGAGATAATTCGTTTGTGGCGATTGGATAATGGGCACCAACGCATGAGGGGGTTGGGCTCAGTCCCAGGCAGGTCAGCATTCCTGCCCAAGCTGGTTGTCACCGCTTCTTCCGCTTCATCTCCACGACAAGGCCAACCTTGTACCATCTACACTCATCCAACATCCAAAAGATACCTTTGGCACTTGCCACCACACTCCAGGCCTTTTCTTAAAATGTCAAACTTGCCTTGGGCTCCAATTCGGCCAGCCGCCGCCCAATGATGCCTGAAGGAAAGCCACCTCCACTCGAATCCCTTCACCGATGGGATAGACAACAACTCATTTTGAAGGATGTTCCTTGCAGCTTCCAGATACGTTGCCGAGTAGCGCGTGTTCCATAACACTGGTTGCAGCACACTCGATTTAGAGAAGGTACTTCGAGGATCATTATCGCCGAGTATGTAAATTCAAACAGAATCCTGCAACTTGCTATCAACGAACGCGCCCATCTTATTAGCTGGTTCATGTTTATTCTGCCTTCGAATCACCCCAACTTGACATTGTCAAAAGGATCTGGAATTAATCCTTGGTTCAAGCCCATGCAATCGCCTTGATTGCATTCGATTAGTTGAACTTCCCTCCCTTTGGACCCCCTGACGTCGTTGGAAAACAACACTCATATCAAAAAGGGGGCATCTCAACGAAGACTTATAAAGTAACGACTTCGCTTTTCATCATTCCGATGAAAGCATAACGGACATTTACCATCTTGCGAAGGTATCCCCATATCTTTTGGTCATCGGACTTCCACACCGCTCCAAGCCTCTGATAGACAGACTTTGACATCCCGGATATAGACCGTCTATTCATTCGTGGGCCACTTGGACATACGAGATCATCTTAAGAGTACCCAAGGAACCGAACAGGACATCTGCCTCTTTGATTTCTTTTGTGCTCTCGTACATCTGTTTCTCTTTCTTCATCCCACGGATTTTGTAAATTTGCGAAATGATGGCCTCAAGACGAAGTCTTCAAGTCCAGCCAGACTACGCCTATGGAAATGCAGTTCTGGATACCTCCAGAAGGTAGGAAATAGTTTGAGGATACATGCAACGAGAGCTGACCACGAAGAAGTGCAACTTATCCAGAAGCCACCCACTCTGGATACAATAACGCTTATTACGTATCCTCGAGGTAAGACGTCTCAAACCCAGACATTCGAACGAAGACACTGAAAGTAGAAACCAAAGCGCCACATATGCTCCAGCCATGACAACCTACAGCCCCATTCCAACGACCTCTTCCACACCACTCATCCACTCGGATGCGATGTACACTCCTACTGGCTACACTATCGGAGCATCCTCTGCCGTCTACGGATCCGCTGGACCCAGTTACGATTCTTACACCGGGCAAACCTCAAGTTGGGAACCTCAAGGAAGGATCTCATCCGAGGGGGCTTATATGGATGAGTATGTTGCACCCCCGAGTCCAACGGATTACGTGCTTGAGCCTTCAAGCAAGTCTGCTGGCAAGTCTAAGAGCGAAGCGAAGGGGCACCAGCAAAGACGTCCGTCAAACAGGGATGAATTTGACGGACCGCACCAATATATTCCGAGGCCATCACCAGAATACATTGCCCAACAGGAGAGAGAACTGCCCCACCTGCCAACCAATCTCGTCGTCCACGAGCAGGATAGTATCCTTACCCGAGTCAATGACCGGCTGTCTCAATGTGCCTTCGACTTCGTGGCGAAGTACCAGTTCCCGATCCCTCTAGCCAATGGGGAGATGCGGCCAGTGGAAAGACCCCAAGACCGGGAGTGGACTGAGTGGGTATATCTCTTGAAACGTCTCGCTACCAAGCGACGGATACCAGCCAGGGTGTTGTACAATGGCCAGATCAAACAGTTCATCACCATTTTGGAGAACTCCCTCGAGATGCGGCATGCCGCCAAACACCAATCCCGACCCCTCAAGGACGACAGGAACATACTTCAACTCATCTCTGCTGGCATCCAGGTCGCCAAACTGTTACGGGATGCGGATGCAATGAGCTATATGGACCAATTATACCTTGCAACGGAGAACACAATCAATTCGAGAAGTTCTCGCTCTCACTCGAGTACTTAGGGATTCGCCCGCAACGGAGATCAATGGCTAGTTATATATTCAAACTGAGCGGCAGATCGAGGAGGGGCGGAGCCGTTCCACACGGTACCGCTCCGGACCATAAATCTCCGTTTTGATTTCACGACCTCACCTTGCATCTACCCCGGCGTTAGGTACTGTTCTGCCAATGGATATCACTCTCCCACTTGGAGTTACCCTTGGAAAAAACTTGGTTGCCGGATTCTCTTTCATGTTATTTGCTGCCCATTTATGGTGGGAAACGTGGTCCCATCAGCCGGGGACCCGTCACGGAAAACAGCTTTAATTGGCAGCCCGCCAGTTCGTTAGTTGAGGATGGAAGTAATTTACCAGGGTTCCTGAAGACGCCTTGGAAGAGATAGTGGAATTCGCCCTGGACTCAGCCTTATGCACCCGCAGATCAATTGGCCGTTGAAGCGGCCACATGCAGTCCCATCAAACTCCCAGCATGAGACGAATTCACGTGCGGCGGCGCGATTGGGAGAAGTGCGCATTTGTGCACAAAGCTGCAGATCTTTCCACCTTCGTTACCGGGGGCGTTTTCCTCTTGCTTCTGATTTGCTGTACTTTGAGCACGCATTGGGTGGCCGCGAATGTTACAAGTTGATGAATGCTGACCGACTGTTTTGCGGCTGCAAAGCTGGGCGTTTTGGCGGGAGGATCACATCTGATTTTTTGCACATGTATGTATGTTGATGTCGGTGACAGAAGGGGAGGGTCGTTTGGCCACGCCTGCAGAAGAAGAATGGTGCCCAGTAACAATCCAAACAGTTTTACCCGTACGGCCGTACCCCACAAGTTGCCCCCAATCAGTGCCCAACCAACCCCCCCACCACGCCTGGTGTCGAGAGACGCAGCAAGTAACAGCCCTGACCAGGAATCCTGTCAGCCACCGGTGACGGATCCGATACCGAGAACAAGCCACCCCTTACTCGGTACGAGAGCTTTCCCCAGAGGTGACAACGCTCGAGTCCGGGGCTCTGCTCTCTTTTCCTATAATAGAATTCAAGAGTCGCCTTTGAGATCTGACATCTTCGCTTTGTGTGCCATCAATTGCCGTGTTTGTTGCCCTTTCTGTCCAAGGTCTCCGGGACTTTCCTGCATCGAGCTGACAGCCTCGTCTCCACAACGGCACCCACACCTCCAGACCCCACCGCGCCATTCCCGAGACAGACATTTGGTGGACCCCGACTGTCCTCAAGATGGGAGACCAGGACTACAAGCAAGATGATGATTCTCAAAAACAGTATCAATATTACTACAACTCCTCCCAACCCCTGTCTGCTCAGGTCCCGAAGTCCAACTACCTCTACACAAACCACACTCAAACCTTCACAGACATAGCCATCGATGGCCAAACTCAGAACCCCGATGTAGTCATGCCAGGTTTCCCTTCAGAATACTACGTCGCTCCAGCTGAAGCCTACGACGGCTGGCAGAACTACAGAGCCGCCTCAGTAGGCACAGCAGCAACCAGCTTCGTCAATGTCAACACGCCCAGTGCCACGACAGATGGAAGCTATGTGATGGTGCCCACACCGTCGCACCACACCAGAACGTACTCGGAGAATTCGTCTGGTCAGGGCTCTGAAGGTCCTCTGTTCTCGGTCCCAGGAGATCCTGAGCCTTGGACACCTGGCTCGGCTTTCGCGGTGGATAAGGAGGCGATGGATCGAGATGCTGTGGAGGAGGAAGCCCAGTCGTCTATGCCACATGACCAGCAACGTGTGCTTGCTGGTTTATCGAGTCCCGGTATGTACCTCACTCAGCTCTTCGATTCGAGACAGTAATTAATGAAAGCAGAACCGAGGACGGTGTACAATCCATACGTACCATTAGAAAGCCACGGACCAGTCGTCTACCAGGAATCCATGTCAAACTACCAGACTTCTGCTGCTTGCCAACCGCTGTCGTACACCTTGCCATCCCGGCCTGCCAGGGCGCAGAACATGTTCGACGATCCATGGACGCCCGTCGAGCAGCGAATGCATCTCTTCCCACCCGGCTTCGTAGCTTTTGCTCCATCTCCTGGACCAAATGTAGAGAACTATGCCGGCGTCGAATATGGGACAAGTGTCTCTGTATCTCCGCAAAGCCGTAAGTCAACTCATCCAAGCCTGGGGAAACGATCTCGTTCTGGAAGAACTTCCTCTGCCAAGGGCAAAGAGAAGGACCACTCTCCAGGATGGGAACATGTTGTTGTTGCCAAGGGTGGTCTACTCCGAGTGAGCGAGATCCCGAAGAAAGAGAATCGCGGATGTCGAACGGGAGAGCTTGACTATGAAACCAAGGAGAAAGCCCGTCGTATTAGAAGGGTGCATGCGTGTTGGAACTGCTGGAACCAGAAAGTTCCTGTAAGCCTCTTGCCACCGCGTGAAGGATGCCATATGCTAACAAGTAGACAGTGCTCCGAGCCTCAGTCAGAAGGAGAACCTTGCAATAGATGTAAGAGCCTGAGTAAGAAGCAACCTTCACTTACAGCACATCAACTTTGCTGGAGATCTGGCTTCAAGGACTATGAGTCCACGTTCTTTCCAGGTTGGTCACTTCCCTCCTTCCTTCCGTTATTACCAGCTGATAGCCACAGAATTCATGCATGCGCATCTCCGGAAAAGCAAGATCGAGGACTTGATTTCTGTGAATACGACCGGGTTCCTTGACGCTGTCATCGTCGTTGAAGTTTCAACCGGCTCGGTGTTCAAGCCCATGAGGCTGCACACCAACACCTTCGAAGCCATCGGAAACGAACTGCTCGAGCAATCCATTCTCACACCACCAGAAGCAGACCAGGCTGCGCAACTAGTACGGATGCCCAGTGCACCCGTTGGCATTCTCGGCCTTTCGGTATCGGAGATGAAGAAGAAGTGCAATAAGCATGTCGAAGATATGATTTCGAATACCAAATATGCCGAGCAAGCAACATCTGGAGACGTATCGGGCCTTCCCAGTCAGATCTTAGAGATCGTAGGCGAGTACGTTGCCGCGAAGAAAGATGTAAGCAATCCATTCCAATCTTCAGTATTGAGAAGTTCTAATGACAGCCGCAGGTCTCCCTCCTCCAAAACGCACTGAAGCTACACGCCATTCATTACTTTATGGGTTGTATGATAACCTTCAGCGATAGATCAGCTCGCGAACTCTATAGCAAGCTTGCGCCTGGCATGACACCACAAGCCTACCTCTCATCACGCCTTCTGAATCGCCAAATCAAGTACGTGATGCACAAACTGCATCGTGAGATCACACTTCAAGTGCTTGAGGACCTAGAACGCTCCCTCCGTTCGCGGACCAAAGACTCCTGGGGTACTTCCTTCTGCACGATCCTCATCCTCTGCCTCTGCATCGAAGGTCTGCAAACGGCAGCTGACGTGATGGTCGTCTGCAACATCCAAGAGAAAGGAGGTGAAGCGTCTTATAACCGAAACCAAAGCTTTAACGCTTGTGAGGAGTTGGAAGAATATCCTTTCCGTCAGTGCAAGAAACTGTTCCATGATATTTATAGAAGTCATAAGGATGGTAGCAGTGGTGGACGAGGGGAGAAGGCGTTCAATCCACTTAAGATGGCTGCCGAGGAGGGGAGGACGGGGCTTGATTTGACGACAGAGGGTATGGTGAGGTCGATTTATGGGGTTGTTTGCAGTTCTTGTGAGTTCGCCTCAACCTTCAACCCTTGAGAAAGACTAACACAATCAGGGGCCGAGATTGTCCAACTGTCAGAGAGGCCTGCGATAATCAACCTGGGCTACACGGTTGCGGCCCACGATATCAAAACCAACAACACCGGCCGCTTGGCCGCAAAGTTTTTGAGATCTTTCTTTCCAGATTGATTAACGAATCATGAGCATACGGGTAGGAGTTATATTGAACGGCGTTGGTATTGTTTGAAAATATAGACTGCGTAGATATCTGATTCAGCGACGACTTCACGCTTCGTGGTATCAACCTAAACCACCAAATGAAAATACCCTTCTTTCCATTCTACAATTCTCTTACATCCAAACACGTGGTCCCTCTTAACACTGCTATCATGCCCTAAGTATTAAACTGAATTGAATCAAGGAAATGTATGCTATGAGATGTTTGTCCAGATTAGTCCTCCTGGCGCACAGAGTCTACGCCAGCAGGGTGGATGGGACTGGCTGTCTAGGCCGTCGGTTCTTTCTCCCACGAACGATAATTTAAATAAGTGACGCTCGAGTCCATGAAAAAGGCGCAGGAGGTAGGCAATATGTGGTTTTTCTTGGGGGGGGGGGTTGATTCTTCAGAATAAAAGAAAGAGAATTCTTGATAAGGATCGGAAGATTTCGTCAATCGTCACTCGTGATCGTAGTTTGATTGAAGTCAGTGTCGTTCACGACCGTCGATGCAGAAGCTGTTCATTCTTGTGAATCAGCTACAGTCGCGATAGACATGAATTTTGATTCGATCGCTCGATCGTGAGAGTCTTCTGCAGTCGCAGGTGTGATGGTGAAGAAAGCTGCAGGTGGGAAATCGAAAATTTCAAGGAGCAATTCCTTAGCGCCGCACTAGTATCCACTCTAACCTCATCCGTCCTAGCCCACAATATCCACGACAACCTTCTCTCGCTCTCTCTCTCAATGATCTTCTTTTCTCCTTATCACACAAATAATAGACACGGTCAATCAACCGCTACTCACTCGCTAACTGGGTATGTGGTCATATTACGTGCCGAGAGTGAGCCACATTCGTGGGATTTGATCGCCTGACTGAGGTTTGCGGTGAGGTCGGGCTTTGTTCTGCGGGTATGACATGATTGAAATTCAAGGAGGTTCTAGACGAAGATTTACGAAGAGACGCAGTTGGGATGGGATCAAGGTGCAAAGGATGGTTAATAAAATTTGAGACAATACTTTGCTGTTGAGGCTGAATCCCGCAGGGGTTGGAACAATCTGGAGACGACTGAAAGGTCGCGTCGATAATTGTACAGCCCAACAAAATTATTTGTTCGCCCAAGGCTCTCAAATCTATGAAATTAACTACCCGTGATTTCGCTACAACGAACAATCGAAAAGGCCGTGAGACTACCCCCCCGACTGTTCTAAGACCGCTGTTCGTGCAATAACGCCACGCCACCAATGTACCGACTCCATATGAGAAACCTCAATCAGCCTCAACGACACGGAAAACCTCTCTCATCTCGCCCCACTTCTCAACCAACTCCTCGCTCGCCTTTCCCTTGGTATTGACATGCTTCTCCAGTTTGGTAATGCAGGCATCAATTGTGGGAGCAGAGCCAATACCGAACTCCTTACAGGCGGCGCGAACATCCTTCGTCGTCTTCGCACCCTTGTAATACCATCGGGACTCGACGCTGTCATCTTCTGAGGATTCGGACTTCAGCTTCTTCGAGTCATTAGATTTACCAGATGAGCTGGCTTTGCGCTTGTGGGATGAATTGTCGCAAGGCAGGCCCAGACACTGAGCAAGCTTCTCGACGAGATCCTGCGTTGGGACCGACCCAGCCTGGACTTCCTTACTCTTGCCCTTTCTTCTCTTAGGAGCCGCAGACTTAGCACCGAATTTCTCCAAATCAGGATTGTCGACCGCCCATGCCTTCACAGTCTCGAATGCAGCCTTACCATTGTGCTTCCAGTACATCTGACTGGTATCCTTCCAAACGTAGTCCTTTGCGTCAGGGATGCTGAACTTATTCTCAAGCCAACCTATCATGGCATATTTGACGGTTTTGGTCTGCATAAGCAACTTATGGTCTTTGGCCTGGGGCGTACTTTCTTGGTTCGAAAATCCGGGTTCGTTAACCCAAGGGACCGGGGCACCGAGGATCATAGCTTGAATACTAATGAGGACAGAGAGGACGGTGCTTTTCATCGGCTGCCACATCTCACTAGGATTACCTTCCCACGTATTCAGAAGGGATAAGCAGACTGAAAAGTGTAGCATTAGTTTGTGTTCGACATATATTCAAGTGGTAAATCTGATTGTACAGATTAAACAGGGGGGATTGTAGAATCAGAACACTTACCGCCACCACCTCGGTGCAAATTAGGGTTGAACGAATAGGTCTCGCTATCATTACCGTCAAGGACAAAGGACATTTTGGGAGGGCTAAAAGGATAGTTGGCATCAAGGAAAAGATCAAAACTGAAATACCATTAGCCACACTCTAAGCCACCTTGATGATAGTTTCTTACATGAACAACCCATGAGCATATGGTGAGCCTTCGGAGCCAACGATGAGAACCTTCATAACATCGGATCGGGATTCAGCAACCTAGAAACATCAGCTCGTTAGTTGCTAGCGTGGACATTGGTGATGGACGTGAACCGTAAAGATGTCCAAAGATTAATGAAAGATCAATGGCTTACCTTGACAAAGATACCCGCGGGAAGAGAGGTTGTCATAGTTGCCACTTCCTTGCCAATGGTTACGAGTCGGCCCTTCGTATTTGATGCCTTGAGGTTTTTAATCTCGGCTATGAAGCGATGATTTTTAAGTACATCGTCATCGAATGTTACCCTATTTTCTTCCGCAAACTTTGTCCAGATATCGGTATGGTCAACCGCAACCGTCGGGCGATCCTTGTGCTTCTGCAGATACTCGTATATGTCAATGATAAGCTGACACATTTGGACCGAATCATCGTCGTCTCTCTTCTCCCGAGAAATGGACGGGGCCTTGTTCCTGATCAATACCGGAGCTCCAGGCTGATCTCCTTGTGGCATGTTGGAAATGGTAAGGAACGATTTAGCTTGACGGTACGTGTCTAAGCTGCCTGTGAATACCGACGGCGCGAATATTCCTTGGTGAAGTTAGCGAAGTCTTCTGGGCATGAGAAGAGAGCAGATATGCTGTCCCAACAGATAGAATTTTGCTCTCAGTGTCGCTTGAGCTGCCAGCCCTGGTACGTTTCCAAGTCAAATACAGACATTAGATGAAGAAATTGCTCACCTGGAATATCTTGAAGGTTTTCAAGGGCGAATCCTGGCCTGTGCGACGATTTTTGGATACTATGAATGCCAGGGCTATTGCATTTATCGGGGCGCTCTTCTAGCAAAAGTCCAACGAGGTCAGGGGAGTTTGCGACAGCCTATGAAAGCCAATGAGTATCCCAATTGAACCCTATACCGGTCTCTGGACTTACTTGGACAAACGTAAAGACTTCTCTATAGAGCTTCTTCCTCTGTGTGATGTCGATTATAGAATCATTTCGAAGCAACTCGGCGATCCTGTCGAAGAGGAAACTAAGGCGATATAGTCGAATCTCTTCGATTGGACCCGACGGCGAGCCAGGGCCAGGCAAGAAGGTCGTTAAAAGCTTGAGGGTATCGATGAGCAGCTCGTCTTGGGATTTTGTCTTCTCCTCTGTGCATTTGATGGAAGGTGCTCGTACTACATAAGTTGGAGGACCAATGTAGTGTCCATGGAATCCCGGCATCGGCATTGGTGGCATAGCACTCGGGGGGAAATCCTCAGATTCGTTGGCATCATAATCATCAAGGTATGCAGCAAACTGATCGTGGTCCATTTCGTAATATGCACCGTATGGGTCACCACTCGAGCTGTATCCAACACCATTTTGGGCTGAGGCATGTGGCATCTTTGGTTTCGGTTTGACTCCTCTTTTCGGATTGGCGGAGGTCGATGCCTGTGTGACTGGCAATCTAGATGTCGATCAGTATTCATCATTCCTCGATGTCCCCCAACTTTCAGCTGAGAATGGGAAGGACGTACTCAGCTTTGTCGAATCTGGCAAGGAGAAGCCATATACCAAAGAGTTTGCCTTCATAGCAGCAATGATTGACCTGGGAATGTAGTCAGTCCTGCTTCGAGGAGTTTCGACGCATCGCAGAATGGTCGGACAAGCAGACAGGGGATACATACCACGCCGATGGTTGTGAAGAAGTGGTGTTTGTTCAGCTTTGGCGCGCCACCACATCCAACGCAAGTCGAATGATCACACTTTTGGCAGTGCAAGACAGAAATCTGAGAGTTTGGCGGGATGACTTGCGTGCCAGTGAGCCAGGTTTGGAGATGTGTATCGATATCCAGCAGTAACTCTGCATGACAAGCTCTGCACTCCATATGCAGCTGTGCAAAGATATTGTTGAACAGCACCAGATCGGGCGATAGCTCCTTCGGGAACATCCTGTTGCTGCGCGATCCGCCGGCAGAGATCTGGGGTACAGGATTTGACGCCTTCGGAGGCTCAGGTCGCTTTCCAAGGCCGAAGATCGATGATGTTGTCATTGTTGGTGTAGTTGCTTTTGTAGAAGACGGTAGGTATTTGGACAGCGTCTCCTTGAGTTTGTGGAACGGGTCCTTGATTTTTTGAAGTGGCATCGTCCGTCGGGGAACAAGTTTGAGGCGAAAGCCAGTTGAACCTCGAAGTAAATACAGCCTCGCGCCGCGTAAGTCCCACCGCCTTTTAAAATCGCACGTGAATTAAGGCTCAATATTCACCCCGAATTCTAAAGAGCGACCATCTACCTAGAATACGATCCTCTATCAGCAGCGATACAGCAAGACCATATTCAGATCAGACAATCTTTAACAACACGATTCGGATGGGAAACAAGGCCTTTATAACGGCATCCCGACTTCGGCCAGCCGCCGAAGGAGTTTTCATTCAAAAGGGATTCCCCCCTTTGTTCCAGCTTCCCGAAGGAATCTTCAAGCTTCGATGTCCTAAGACGATCTGGAAAAAAGATTGATCACCGTGACAAGCAACGAAAATTGGCGGGAGCTACCTCACAGTTGAGGAGAGCGGACCGCTGACGAAAACCGACTAGGGCTGATTGTTTGAAGAGCGCTCAAGCTCAACCTTCGCGGCCTGTGGCCCTCTAAATCTGAAGAGTCAAAAACTCATAGGGGAAATGCAAGCAATGGCTGCAGAAAGAGATACCGGTACGCGGTTTCATTACCTTGATAAAGGGGATGGATGATTCGACTTCTAGAGATGTTGAGAAGAGGATTGAATCGTCGCTGCGCGACAAAGCGTAAGGTCGGTTTCTGTCCAATAAAATACAAGAAATCTGTGATGAAAGGAAGTTTGGCGGAAATTGAGCAGCTTCACTATGTCATAGTTCTCATAAGCCAGAACGGGATGTTGCGACTGTGAGATGGAAGTAGACCATCGTTCTTGGTTCTGGCTGGAAATTTTAGCACATTACACACCCAACTGAGCAAGAGCAATTACTTGATATTATCTCCCTTCAGTGCATTATTGAAGGAGGGCCAGTTGTTGCCAGCGTCTCCGGGGCGAAATCGAAAGCAGGCTGAGATGTCGAACGCTCGTCCGGCAAAGATTGCGATCAATGTCTAGACGCTAGAGAGCGACCGTATATCAAGGGCCAAACAGTTTTTACGATTCCTCGCATTCGGTGGTCAGATACGAGCAAGTCCAGATGTTACATCGAAGTGTCGATGTTGCTGGAGGTTGCTGCCTCTGAAGGCCCAAGCGAGGTTGCTCAACAGCCTTGGGTTCCACGTGACATTCCTACTAGACCGAGCACAGGGCCAGCAGAGAGCAAAGGAGTTCATTTGTTTCTCCTGCGTATTATGGGTTACGGGTACTAACAGGAGAGAAAAGTTCGATGATATCACGTGACTCTTTGCGATTGTACGCCTCCATTTGTCTGAAAGCTCATTGATGAAGCTATGCACGCCGGTTCAAGGTCTCATAATTTAATCCAATCGATTTTTGATCGTTCATGGCAATGTTTCCATGGACCAGTTTCCCGTCACATCGCCGGATCTTCGCGGGGGACAGAAAGCGGCGCCCATTCTCAAAAGTCCGAAGGTCAAGTTGGACATTCCATTATTTCGATATCGAATAGCCCTTGGAGTTATAGTACATTCAAAATTAAGTCCCTTCAAAAGTCCCCAAAGTTCAGGCTCATTGAAACATTGTGCCGAGATAAATGTCTCGCTTTACTTCGGGACTTCGAAAAGTTGATCTAAAAAGGGAATTCTCACAGAAACCCAGGACATAATTCTGCTTTTGGAACCGCACCCGCGCCGCACGACGCGTTCAAATCTCTTCACATCTATGTATAGTAATCCACACTTTCCGATCTATTTAGAGATCCTTTGGGCTTAATTTTGCGGTTCTTGAGCGTGGTAAAAGATTTGGAGTAAAACAGCGGGTCTTGGTGGGATAGGTAATTATCCCGCATTGAGGAAGTGGTAGCCCCAAAAAAAATCATTTGAGCTCCGGCTCTATCAGAGAAAAAAAATCATTAAAAAATCGAAATCTTCCTTTTTGGTCACTACGAGGGTCGAACTCGCGACCTTGGCGTAATCATTGAGTATTAGCACCACGCTCTAACCAACTGAGCTAACTATGAAGTTGTTAGAATACGGAGCTTTGCGGGATGTTCGTTTGAACTTACGCGACCGTTGCGTTGTTTTGAATTAACCAAAAGTGCTTATTTAATAATATTTAGTATTAATTTTTAAGCGACTGAGCGTTCTTGAAGTCACGTGCCGAGAAATTTCTGACAAGAGCACCATGACCCCTCCGGACGAACTTGTTGGAATCTTTGCTACCACCAGCCCTGCGGCCGAGACGAGGGGATATGTGACATCCTGGGCAAAACCATTCTCGCGCCCTTAGTATGAGTGTCTCAGAATCCGAGGAGCGCTGCCTTACAACAGGCAGTAGCCTCATTGCCTGCCAACCACCCTCAATCGCCACTTTCCACCTCATGTGCCGTCTACACATCGAAGCACTGGATTCTGCCTGAAATGCACCAATTTCCGCTACTGTTCGTAGAATCTTGGCCACATGGGATCAGTGATCCCGCAATGCGCGTACCTTCATGCCTCATTTGACGTTTTGTGATCTTAAGACTTCTATCAAACACAAAGCAAGGCCTTCTTCCCCAAGATTAGTGCATTCCGCCAGAACCGCCACCTTAGATGTAGTGCCTGCACAAGCGAAAGAATCAACCTTCGATCCGAAGCCCACCTATTCTATATAGGGTTCAGGAAGCTTCGGTAAAAATACACCAAGTAGCTGGCTTTGTAACTGGTAAAGTAATTTGAGCAGGTACTTTATTTTATTATCCATATTGCATCGCATTACGTATTGGTTTGCCGAAAGTACCGAGTGCTATAAAGTTAAGATGCTTCTGGGCTGTGCCACACATTTCCAGATTAGAGAGCTCGAGGTCTTTGAGATGAATCCCTTCGATTTATTGCACCGTACGAATATATCACCTGGGTAAATAGGCTGAGTAGCCATTTAAGTTGAACTTGCATAATTCGAATGCGGCAACTCGTCGACTTCCACCTCCGAATACTCTCTGTCTCGACTCCACTTCTCGCACTCGACCTGGCTCCACACGTTCGAGAATTACATCACACTTTCGAAAACGATTCGGACTTGACCGACCGCCGGCCTCGTCTACAGTCGATATCCTACTACCCCTCAAGCTGTCTTATGGAGAGAAGAGCTGAGGATAGATACCGTCGCTTTCGCTGACCATCTTTCCAGCCCGACCCTACCGCATTGGTGACCCCCGGCCATTTTCCAGCCACTCATCACCTATGTCATTGATAGACGATGGGGAGAAAGTGCAAAAGCGCAAAGGGGCCATGGAATAGCACCTTCGACGGGTAGCGACAGGCAGAGAACTAGCACCACGTCGACGTGGGCTGGATATTCACATGAAGGAAATCTTGAAATTGGCCGGTAGTGCCGAATCCCCCCCAAGATTGTGGAACATCTAGCCACCGAACACCAAATTACAGTGCATCACAATACAATCTCAACCCGCCTGAAAGAATGGGGCCACAGATTCCCGGGAAGGAATTGCCCTTTAAGAGGGAAAAGAGGAAGCTGAACCTTGATCCCTTTAAAGATCAACTTCAGAAGTGGGAGGATGAAGGCATCGCGTCTTCCGACTTGGTGGACATATTTGAACAATGGTTTCACGCATGCACTTCGAAGCTGACAATTGAGAGCTTCCTCCAAACCTGGCGAACTCCAACAGCAATACCAACTTGGCGTGAAGTGGAATCCCAGCCATTCCGGAGTAACCTCGCAATTCTATCACTTCCTGCAGATCTCTTGACCAGGGAAGAATTGCAAGTTTTGGGAGATGGGATCAGAACGGCTTGTTTAGAGATTATTGCACTATTTCCCGAGAGAGAAACGATGCAAATTTCCAGCAGTGCCAAACAACATGAACATTGGAAGTGGAACAACAATGTATCAAGTGAAAGCGCGGGCAAGTTCCATTTGTACATTCAAACCGGTCTGAATTTCCTCGGCGTTCGTTATAAGAGTCCAAATCTTGTTAACCATACTTAGAACTTGAGTGCGACTGGATGCGTAACTTGGTAAACGCAGCATGTTATGATACATCCATTCATGAGGTGGTGGTAAAGGAAAGACTGCAATCTGGGTACCATTGGTCTCTCGACCGCCGCTTCAATCCGCTTTGTGTCATGGGTCTTCAGCTTCCAGGAAGTTACTTCCATCCTGCAGTTAATACGCAGGAGAAGATATTCGCCAAAATGCACTCTCTCAGCTCTAGAATCCTGTCGGAAACACTACCGAAACTCCTACAGCTCCTCGAAGGACAAATCAGCACGACAGAAGAATATGGGGAAGAGTACCTGAAAATGACTTTATCGATGGTACCGACCACCACTCCTCTGGGGCGCGTTATGGATCTACTGAAGATTGTCCAAGAGGAAATCGATGAATTTCGGCAAGATGTCGGCCTGTCAAAGCATGAATTTGCTTTCCTTGACCGAGCTCCAGAATTGTGAGGCAGGTGAAGCTTTTAGAAGAGGATGAAGACGTCACACCACTTTTGGATAGCTTCACGGAAAGGGTCATCGACCCCTGGATGCAACCATGCAAGCTCCCCGCGCTAAGTGATTCGGACATCAAGATCTTCTTGAACACCAGTACCCAGGAAACAGAGACTTTAAACAAGGATAATGGAGTGCTCGATCTCTTTCAAGGAGGAGAGGACTACGGTAAGATTACTTACGCAGACGCAAATGCGGAGGTGGAAAGTGAGCCAATGTCGGCCGGTCAAGACAACACTAGCCCCTCTGCGAGACTTTACCCTCCTGCTCCTGGCTCAAGTATTTCGTACGTCGCAGCACCACGCTATTAAAAGTTTATACGGACTGGAGAACACCAACAGGCGGTGCACTGATTGGCTTCTCACCCGCTCGATTCAACGCTCAATCATGGGGCTCTGCGGCCTGGCCTTCCTCCTCTGCTCTTTCCAATTCTGGCTCTGGCCAAGAAGACACAGCGAGTAACAAGATGGGAGTCGAATCATTCAAGGACGCGCGCAGACTTTCGGCAATTACTTGTAAGGAGGCCTCTTCGGTGCCGCCTAAAGATAGTAGTACTGTGAATGAGGCTGTGGACTATCCTCAGAATATCATTCTCGCCCAGACGCTAGAAGAAAAGTTGAAGTACGAAACAATCTGTAGAAGGATGGCCAAATGCGCTTCTGGACTCGTCGGCGCCGAAAGAATTCCAGCGCAGGGTATGTGGCCAGCTGATATTAGAGATAATGATTGGTGGTATTCTCTGCGACTATTACAGATGCTCATTGAGTTGTCCCTTCTTGGAGGAGATATACCTGGTTCTTTCCAAAGCGGCTGATGATATTGTTGGCTGCTATTAAGGGCGGTTCCAGTAAAGCATTGCTTTGGTTCATACCACTTGAAGGTGCTCTGAAGAACATTTCCAAGCATGCTGCGCGATGCGACCACAGTGACGCATACGCAAGCTGCACCCCACGAGCACGAGGTGAAGTCTTTCGGGAGTTGTGCGCATTTGTCCACGCAGTAGCGCTCCAAAACGTCGTTCTACTTCCATATCCTAGACGAGATCGCCCAAACTCCACTGCTCCGGGGGACCTCGTTGCGCCAACGATTGCTGTCTCGCACTGTATACAATATCCCAAGTGAAGCTCAGCCATTGTAGATAAGCATCTGATTTAGGTTCTATCAAGCTACGGTACATTCAAAGTCCACCTCCTCTCAACAAATCAGGATTTAGTTTCTGTCCACACTGAGGCATGCTTCTCGCTCCATAAGTGAAGGAAGACCTGATGGTGCATCACGAACATAATGATCCGCTTGAGTCGTCGACTTTGACAAAGTAAATTGGAAGCTCCTGGCAAAGCCCCATGATGTGATTGATCTCGTTTGTCCCTCTCGGGGTAAAAATAAAAGGCGCCACTTTTTTGTAATGTTCCAAGCCTTGCCGGACAATTTTATATGGCCTTTCCGATAGACCTCCCCTCGAGTTATGGTACGTTCAAACAATATCCCCTGTAGATGGCTCGCAACTCTAAAGTAGTGACCTCTTATCCCATTCGAGTCTACATAATTGTCTGACTTTAACTTGGGATATTGAGAATCCCGTGCCTCCTTTTCTGTCGATCGCGAGCCAGGCATGCTTCTTGCTCCTCTGACTCGATATTCGGAACTTGCTTCCAAGCAAATACACGTCAACATTATGGTTTCACGTAAACAGTGGGTTGCAACAGCAAAAGCCTTCTCTTCGACATCGGGACCGTCTCAGTTTGGTGGGCACTTGGTTATCCAAGAGAAAAGTCTGATGTGGGCCCTTGGATCAGGCATCTACAGCAACGGAAAGCCTTGACAAATCTCGGGGCTGATTTCACAGCGCCATGGTGATACCACATGGTCATTCTGTCTGAAGTGGATGAATGCTTCCACTCGGATTCAGCACAGCCCTCTCTGCCAGATACACCTGCCCTTCTGGATGATCTGGAGAAAAAAGCGGTCTGGGTAGAGTTCAATCTCGCTGAAGGGATGACGTCCTCGACGTCTTTGAAACCGTATTCGGACCACTCCAACACACGTTAAGCCTTGCGTTGCGCTTCCTCCTCAGTGCTCCACGTCAAGTCTCTGTCAAAGCCTCACTTGGTGATTGACTCTGCAAACTCTATGCCAAAGAGTTCAGGATCTTTGTCCACTGGCCATGCTAAGAGTGGAGATCAACATGAGAAACTTCAAGCAAATCACCACCGCCTCACACATCGACAAGATGTCTTGGCGTTCGCTGAGTCGCCTCACAGCCTTCTCAATTCCTCGAACGGGAAAGCTGTCCAGGCTTGGATGTTGGCCTTATGCAGGCCGTCACATCGACGGCCTTGACACTATCGGTTGTCACTTGAGGTTGGACTTTGTGGTTGAGGAGAAGGAGAAACCCTGCATCTGGAGCACCGCGTTCTGACGAATACTGAACATCGCCGCCTACCAAAGGCGAACTTTTGAGCACAGGTGCGGGGCTTTTGGCCAGCCTCGCCAACTGAACCTCGCAGGACAGAGTCGCCACCGCCTGTCAGCTCCAGCCTCGTTCAGCATCTTTCATCCCTCACCGACTATCAACATCAATTTGCTGTCAACCGCCGCAACCGTGAGGCTTTGGATTGAATCATATCAATGTGTTCACATGTGCTTCCACCACCGAAGCCAGACCCTGACTCCTCCGCGTGAGAAGAGTCCACTGGCTAAGAGATTCTTAGAGTTTTCTTTCTGTCGTGCGATCGACCGCAGCATCCGCAACACCAAAGCCATCTGGATGAAGTGATAGGACTCGGAAACGGACTGCTTCTCCACCCGGGCGCACTACTGGGCAACGGTGTTACTCTGCGCCAACGAGGCCATCGATGAGTTTCCTGTTGTTGCTGCGGGCGATGCGGGAGATCTCCAATCACCCACAATGCCCGCCACACCTGCTGCACATGCCGCCAACGCATCAGAGACCGAGGGCTCCCCTCACAAGCGCCCCGGAAGCAACGATGATGACGGAAGGGTTCGGAATGCGTCCAGGAATAGTCGGTCTGTGCTTTCGAGATCCCCCTGAGACTTTGACTGATCTCGGCAAGATCTTCAGAGATCAGCATTTCAGGAGTGCGGTAATTTAGAAGTCGAGCTTCGAGGACGCGGATGCCCATGCCCAGAGTTTCGCCGCTTCCCAGGAAGAAGTTGAAACCTTGGACCGGGCCGGCGGCAGATTTCACACTTGGTGCGCCATTTTTCGCAGGCTCAGACTCAAGCTGACAGCGGCCGGGGGGCTGTTGACTTTGCTGCACGGCGGGCCTTCTCCATCATTGGCTTCACGGGCGTGCGATCCTTGGCAAAACTCTCGATGCTTCGACGGGCCTGGTGTTGTGGGATCCTACTCGCCGCCTGCGGGTCGCTGCGCGGTCGCCCTCCTGTGCCAAATCCTGAACTTGGCACGCTGCACTCGAATCAGAATAGGAGACACCACTGATTCGTGACTTGTGCTGCACGAGGGCAAAACGCATCACTTCCGCTAGCACAGTCCGAATGCATGCTTTTCCAACCAAAATCCCTGACCGGCGAGTCTGCAGACGGCCCGCAATTCTTTGCTCTATGATAAGTTGGATAAACTTAGCGACGACTGCCAGCGCATCACTGTCTCACGCAATCTTCAGGCTCAGGCGACGCTTAAGTGCCCAACATCCCCCCACTTCCTCTTTCCATTACAATCACCATCTCTCTTCCTTCTGATCTCCCCTTCTTCCTGTATGCCTCAACCTCCACAACACTGCAGAACCACTGCACCGACCTGATTGTTTGCAACTATCCAAGGCACCGGGAATCACCACCATAACAACAACATCGACGCTTTGCTTCAGCCGCTGGCTCAAGTAAATCCTACACCAGAAACAACGACAAATCGACCCAGAGTGGAAGCCGGTTTTCTTTTCTATTTCAGGACCCTTTTGCCTCCCAATGAGTACTTGTGTGGAAACTCAGACCGCTGGGCTACATCAGCTGGACAATATGACTGGACTCCAAAAGCACCCGAGGACCAAGGCTGCCGCCTCCAGGTATATTGTTTTTCATCACGCTTGTTTTTTTTTGAACTTTTTGCAAGATTTCGAGAATACCATGTTGTCAGAAAGCAATGTTTTTCTTTTCTTCACGCAACCATCGTCTCTGGATTCCCCTGGATACCAATCCGCTTTCCCAGGTCCCAGCTCTACCAGGCTCTCCGGAGATTTTCTTTCTCGTGCTGTCAGCCACGCCCTGCCAAGGCTCTATCATGTGATCTGCCCACCCGTGACAGGATTTCACCCAAAGGCCCGGCGAAATATGGCCTTGTGTAAGTACTCAGCAGAACAAATGGAATTGGCTCCTCCAAGCCGGGAAACTCCGAGGAACTACAACGGCCGTTCATGGCTTTCCAGATTGTCCAATCATCAGGATTTCCACAGAGGAGCATCGCATCTGTCACAGCACCAGGCTGAATCACGTGTCGACAGCTGACGCCCCGTCTTGGATCGGAATGTGGTCAGCAAGTCCTTGCCGACACATTAAATCAAACCAACAGTTGTGGACACCGAACACACATATGTTCACACTGTCTTATGACGGTGCCCAACCGTCACGTCGGTGTCATCCGTCTTCGCAAGCATCAATTGCACGCAGCCGCATCAGGAATTTATATGTCGACTTACCTGAGGATCATCAACAACAAACCCAGTTAGGAACCAATAAAGCTCCGTTCATCATGGATAGGCCGTGTTTTTTTGATTCCATATTACCGCAGGATTGCATCAGGAGATGAATATGTATCAGTCGCACCGCCGACGAGGAAAGACCAGCACCGGCCGGTGCTGGGTTCAGTCAGGCATCAATCATGCCCCTGAGTACGTACACTTGCTCAACGCCAACTTGGTGTCTTGCATGCTACCCCCTCATTCGCGACCGAGCATACACTAACCATTGCTTTGTGTTGTTTTCCATGCAGACATCTGCCTATGGACCGATGGACTTCTCACTCCAGGATGACGAGATACCTCTCAGGATACTTTAAGACTGTCGCACCACTGGATGTCCCCGTGCAGCCCGTTCAAAGGCCTCGCCATAAACCTGGGAATTGATTTGCAACTTGGATCCACTGCTCACCCATGGCGACCCCACCTGGTCTGTAGCCACATACGTAACCCCTTTCGAGGTGTCGCCATGCTAACGTAACGACGTTTAGGTGTATTCGAGTCTAATTTTGTGTTTTGTCTTTTTTGCTCTGCGATATATATATTTTGACATAGTGGTTGCACAGCACACTAACCTACCCTCGTGTAGCCCCTTCAATCTCCCAAACGGACCTGTCCGTGGAATACCTCCATTTTCTTTGCCTCAAACAGGACCTGCCCAGTGTCAATCCAGTGGACCATTCTGGAACAGTGAAGGTGAACAGAACTTCCACCAAGATTCAATATCACCCCATGGGAGTGCCCAGAGTGGATTTCCTGAGCCTCTCAACTCATTCCATGTTCCCCAGGAGGCTCAATCCGGTCAAAGCCATGGCCGAGGGTCATTTTCAGGTAGCTCCAGAGCGCCATGGAACTCAGAACTCTCCTCCGCTGAGATGTCAAGGCAACTGTCCACGGACTCATTAGGAGCTCATTCCCAAGGGACCACTTACTCAAGTGCTGCTTACTCATTTGATCAAATCCGATCATCGAGCATATATCAAAATGGCTCTCAGATGTCATATCATGCCCCATCGGTAAGGTCAGATGGTTCAGACAGGTCAAATAGCCCTGTGGATTTTTATGATCCCACGCACCAGGATCTCCAGGAATTCGAGAATTATTCATACCAGAATGGAGAGGACTTTGCCGGGGCCCACCCGATGTTACAGAGGAATTCCATGATTGATGGTGCGCCTGCACCTATCCCAATGGCATCAGGACCCGCGTACCATCCGTTCGCCCCTGAAGATGAGATGTTTTCTTTGACCCCAGTTTCCAGCTCGCTGCCAAGCCAAGTTCCAGTGTCAAGGGATTCCTTATCGTTTCATCCTAGTGCGATGATGAATTCCCATGACCTGTGGGACAGTGCTGCTGATTTCCTGGAATCCCAAAGGTCTTCTCCCACTTTACTCGAGGATCCCTGGACGGTGCCACCCCCACAGATGATGACATCAACAACGAACAGCCCTATGGAATACTCGCCAAGTCTTGATGGCCTTTCTCCAAGGTACGTTCAGGACGTTGACTTTGATTTGGTGGAACAGCCCCCTTACACAACGACTGGTGACAGGGCAACGAGGAAGCCTGGCCCCCGGCAATCCAAAGTTATCAGCGACTCGGCAGCCGCCTCCAGACGTCCCCGTCTACCAGGAACTTCTGAGACCTCTGACGAGTCCTTCAAGTTAGTTGGCCGCTCGAGTCTAGATCTTGACAATTCTCCCCGGGAACATCAGCTCTACCACAATGTGACTCCCAAGGCCGATGGATTGTACCACTGTCCATTTGAGGATGACCCAAAGGCCAACTGCACCCACAAGCCCGAAAAGCTCAAGTGCAATTACGAGTATGATCCTGTCTTCCCTCCCTCCCTGTCTTCAACGCTAACCACTAAATGTGTCACCAGCAAATTCGTGGACTCCCACCTGAAGCCATACAAGTGCAAGGTCGGCACTTGCAAGGATCTCTGTTTCTCATCCACGGCTTGCTTGCTCCGCCACGAGCGTGAAGCTCATGCCATGCACGGCCACGGCGACAAACCATACCTCTGCACCTATGAGGGTTGTGAGCGAGGAGCTCCTGGAAATGGTTTCCCGCGCCACTGGAATCTCAGAGACCACATGAAACGAGTCCACAATGACCCAGGAACTCAGCCCAAGAGCAACACCTCGGGATCTCCCCAGCCTTCGGCTGGGCCTGCAAGCAAAAGTAAAAAACGCAAGGCAAGTGAAGTTGCAAATGATGCCCCATTCATGGAGAAGCCCCAGAAGAGGAATACCACTCCCCCGGCTGTGACCCGCCAGCCACAGGAACCAAGCCTGGTTGACCGCTACCAAGAGAAGCAGCAGATACTCCTTGAGGTTGTTGCCAAACTCGAAGACCCAAGGAATGCTGACAATATGGCGTTACTACGCAACGCAAACGACTGCATCAAGGTAATGGTTCAAACAACCCAGCGCATCATTTCCGCTCCTGTGGGACAGAACTTCAATCAGCAGTCCGGCTGAATTGAACACCTCAACCAGCTTTGAACTAGGACTTTGTGAGTACCGAGAAACTAACTGCTCTCTTTCCTTTCCTTCTCGCCCCTTCAGCATGTTTGAAGCCATACTGACCACCCGTCTACGCAAAGAAAACACCCCCTTTCGAACATGGCCGTGACACTCGAATCCTTCATACCCCACAAGGTGATAGTACAGCGGTTCCCAGTACGCGTACTCCACCACACAGGATATCGACAGTCTAAGTCATGGACCAGTCATGCACACAGACCTATATGCCCGCGGATACTGCCGTTGGAAGCCCATTGAACCCAAGGACATGAAATGGAGAAAGCCAGGAATTTTGTTGCCGGACATACATTCCGAGGAGATGCCGTATGGATACCGTGGATTTATTTGCCGGGATTTACTTTTGATGCCGGATGCCATGGATGTTGCCCACGCGGATCGGAGGTCACGGAGGATAATGGTGATGGATAGGTGGTGATTGGCATAGGATAGATTGTGGAGGATTGGTGGATGCTTGGAGAGGTAGATTGTTTTGCGTGCGATGTTTGGTTTTGCTCTGTTCTGTTATTGCTTGCCTTATTGGTTGTGAGTTTGATGTTTGATTGCGAGAAAGAGAAGGAGGACGTGTCGAGGCACGTGATTGGGGACAAAAAGAGAGATAGAGATGATGATGACGGTGGTAAATTGCTTGATGTTTAGATAGACCGTGAATGAAGTTCACATTTGCTTTGATCCTACTTCCTACTCCCGATCCATCCCAGTTCCGATATGGCCCTTTGCCATCTCACCACACTAGCACGCTGAGAGTCCTTATCCATCTCAATGTACCGAAATCTCAAGAGCCACTCAAGTCACGTGAACTAATTGCTTTACTACCAATTAGAATTTCCAAGGCCAAGTAACAACAGGAGCCTAAACCAATTTCCCAAATACTTCAGAACATGCTCAAGTTCTCAAGAGAGAATCAAAACATCCACATTTTCTAAGATCTTACTGATAATCACTTCGTTGCCACTATAATCTTTGAAAATTATGGTAAAACTACAGCCTTCTAGCTACCTCTGCAGGCACGGACAAGTCACAGTGGTTTCTGGCACATACCTATTTTGGGTAATTTGAAATACAACGGCGTGCTTTACTGAATGCTCTTCGAGCCGTTCAAAACCTTCCATACCTAGATCGGTCTTTTGACAAAGTTAAGAGTCTCCATAATTCAAGATCTTGGTCCCAAACATAATGACAACAAAAGAGAGACTCGGTCAAAGTTTAGAATTTGACAATGCATTTCATCCGAACTCAGCTTTTCTTTTACAATCCCGGAGCAAGCGTTTGATGAGCTTCCGCTTGAACACCCTGGACTGTAATCTTACTATGAGCAATTAGGAGGATGGAATTTTCGGTGGGAGGAGGTGAACGCTCCAAGAACCATACGGAGAGATCGGAACACCAGAACCATTTTGTGTTTCGAAATAAAAGAATAAACGAAGTTTATATAGGAAGGTCCCAACATACCTCTTGTTCCTTCGCCTAAATAGGGGTCTCGTTTCTTAGTAACCGGCCACACTAATGGCGGATACTAGTGCCGAAAGTTATTATTCCCATAGTTACGATTCTCACTTGCTATGCTAGTAAGGTATATAAGCCTATTCTTGACCAGCATATGCCAGTCACGAATGCAAGGCTATTCTCAGTTGGCACGTGCCCAAAAAGCGATATGTAGGAGTAAGTATTAATTTAATCTAGCTACTTAGCTATACTATAAAACCAAGAAAGGGTAGAGGAATCAAGCTTACAATTAACGTGGGAGATGCGAAGTATTAGGAAAGCTTCACCGCTACTTCATAGTTTGAGTACTAATTAGACTAATTACTAAGCGGGTACTAGGGCTGATGTAGGGTGGTGGAACTGTAACATTACGCGTAATATTGTAATCTACTTTTATCTTTACGTATCGTAATCTACTTTTTTCGTTACAGCACGTGCCCTCTTTTAGGGGGCGATTTAGTGCCTTCCAGGCCTCAAAATCGGGTTTTCTGAGCCCGGACTTGGGATGTGGATCTCCGGAGAGCTTCTAGGCCTTTTCGGGCCTAGTTCTCCACTTTTCTTTACTAAAACGGGTTAGTGCGTCACATGACTGTATCGTAAGGTGTAATTTACTCTCCACGTTACACTCTGGTGGTAACGATAATTTACTTTTCAATTACTGTAAAGTGGCCACCCTAGGCTGATGTGAGATTATTCTTGGGTGGCATGCGCCCTTTGTGAATAGCTTCACATTAGCGGACAACTTCGTGACTGGCAGGTTACATTCGCGAATAACACCTGCCAGTCACGAAGGTACGCCATTCGCGAATGGCATATGCCCTTCGCGAGGGGGAAGGTGCTATTCGCGAATGGCGATATTCGTGAGAGGACTAGAATAGATGTCATTTCGCGCTACGGTCAGCCAAGGGCGTGACACCCAGCTCTTATCTCTCACCTTGTACTCTTCAGAGCTCTTCTATTATTGACTCGAAGCAAAGGTTAGCACGGGGGAGTGGCCGCCGTGATCGGCTACTCACCCACTTTTGTTGACTCATCGTCCTGGAAGCTATTAGCCTATTTGTACAGTCGTTCGTACGGATTATATGAAACTCGACCTTACTACTTTTGCCCTCGAGCCTCAATCAACGAACCTATACCGGTACGTTAGTCCAGGGCAGCCAAAACTAACACAGAGCGATCAGCCATCATGGAGGAGAAACTAGTAATTGCAAGCGTTAGCGAGGAAGTGATTCTCAGCATTGAGGATCTCCAGAGAGAAGGTTCTAAGAAGCTCCCTACTTTCAAACGAGGCAAGCCATATCCTTCTTTCCGTTTCTCCTCGTGGTGGACAAAAAGCGCCACTAAACTTTCAATGTCCCAAGTCAAGGTGGATCATGTCAGATACCTCCAATCTAGATGTCTCCTCGAGTTGTAGTGGTACATCCAAAATCAAGTCCCTTTCAAAAGATATTTAGAGTTCTGGAGCATCGACATCCTCGCTCGGAGATAATTGTCCAACTTGGCTTGGGACATTGAAAACCTATGCCGCATTTTCTGTCCACCACGTAGTCCCTTAATTCTCATCCTCAACCTCTTCACATCGAAACTCTAACAGTCCCCGACAAACAGAGTTCTTCAACTCCGGCTCCACCGGCCAAATAACCGTCCACGAGAACTCAACCTCCTACCAAAAATACCGTCTTCGTTGCCGCGTCCTCCGAGACGTTTCAAAAGCCACTCTCAGCACCGTAGTCCTCGGAAAGACGATCTCCTTCCCACTCTGCGTCTCCCCAGCCGGTCTTCATGCAATGGCACACCCGGATGGCGAGCTAGCAACTAGCCGCGCTTGCGCAAAACGCGGTATACTAATGGGCATATCCTCCTTCTCTAATTACTCCGTGGAAGATGTGATCCAAGCCGGGAGAGAAGTTCGAGATGTCGGGCATGTGATGCAGCTCTACACAATGAAAGACCGCGCGCTCCAAGAACGGATCATCAAACGTGCGGAGAAAGCGGGCTGTAAAGCCATTTTCCTTACAGCTGATAGTCCGGTGCTGGGAGTAAGGTATAATGAGTGGCGCAATGACTTCCGGACTCCTGATGGGCTGAGCTACCCAATGATTGAGAGGACGTCTGAGATGCTTATAGCTCAGACGCATGATAGTGGGTTTATGGCTTTCAACTCTGATACCCATTCCTGGGCTGAGGAAATTCCTTGGCTTAGAAGGAGGACGAAGATGGAGATCTGGATCAAGGGCGTACTTACCGCTGAAGATGTTCTGCTTGCAAGGGAATATGGATGTGATGGAGTAATAGTTAGCAATCATGGTGGGAGACAGTTGGATGGCACCCCCTCTACGATCGATGCGCTGCCTGAATGCGTCGAAGCGGCGGATGGGAAGATCAGGGTGCATATTGATGGTGGCATTAGAACTGGAGCGGATATATTCAAGGCAATAGCTCTTGGTGCTGAGTGCTGCTGGATAGGACGGCCTATGATCTGGGGCCTGGCTGTAGGTTTACTTCCCCCCTTCTCCTTGCAAAGTTCCTTGTCTGGTGCTAACCTTCCCAGTACGATGGCCAAAAAGGAGCGGAAAAGGCCCTGGATATACTTTATGATGAATTCAGACGCTGTATGATGCTGACTGGCTGTACGTCGATTGCAGAAATCTCAAAAGCCTCACTTGGCATTGTTCGAGCAGATGGCCCTCTCGCACGGCTATGAGAGAGAAGAAATGATTCCGGAATCTATCACATACTACCGAAGGAACTCTCTACATTTTGATATAGATTTGAAGGTAAATCCGTTCCACTTAGCATAGATTGTTGAAGCTAGCGTTTTGAAGAGGAAATGAATCTTTGCATTTCTAAGCCTTGACACCAGTTCGCCATCCAACCTTCATGTATGTCTCCATGTTATGCCCAGTAGAGTTCTTTACCAAGTCTTCATCCAGCGCCACCTCTCCTGGAGGATAGACAACAATGACTGTGCTTCCTCCATAGTAGAAAGCACCCAAACATTGGCCTCTTCTTACTTGGGTTCCTAAGGTATCAACTCCTCCCACGTACTTGATGCTACCAACCAGCATCGCTCCTACAGCCACAATCGCAATAGGTGAACCAGTCGCAGATCGCTCGAGAGTCATGACCGAGCGCTTGTTCTCGCAAAACACGTCCAATGTTCCTGGTTCGTTGATAGCTTGAGGATTGACTGTGTAGTAGGCTCCTGGTATGTCCTTAATTCCACGAACAGTTCCCGAAACTGGTGCATGCCATCTGTGATAATCTTGCGGTGCAAGTCGAGCAATAACGAGGGAGCCTCCATTAAACTGTGCCGCAAGTTCAGGACTCCCAAGAAGACGCTCGAGAGTGAAGCCATATCCCTTGATCCAGTATTTTGTAGCCAAATCAACGCTGGGAAATGCTGTTAGACGACAATCGGCAGGCGAAGAAGTTACAAGGTCGTTCTCCGGTTCTGCGATCGGGCGAGCAGATTCCTTGATCTCGCGTGCGAAGAAGGCATTGAATGTGGGGTATGCGTTTGGATCTGGTTCGACCATTTCGAAGAGCGTAGGTTCAAGTTGGAAAGATTGGATGAAAGGGTTGATATGCTGCGTACTCTCTGGAGAATCGTATTCCATTCCCATTTTCTCGCTTTGGCTCTGTAATAATTGCAGCGTCCGCTTCCAATGCAAAGCATTCTCCTGTGCTGATCCATAATACAGAAGATGCATTCCGACCCTCACATAGATGCTCATTGCCTCCCATGTTTTCTCTCCTGTCTGGCGGTCAAGGACATAGTTGCCCAGGTGGAACTTGTTCTCGACGCTTTCAATTGTGCCTGCAGGCAAGATCTTCGAAAGCCATGTGTGTGACTCTACAGAAGTAGACGAGCCGTGAATGTGGGACGTGGGAGGTTGATTATGATTCTCTGCTCTCCTTGTAAGCTCCTCTAATGCGCCTGCACTGGCAGTGAACCCCGCGTCGGTGAGTGGGTGCGGCTCATAGTCGAGCACTTTGTCATCGACGATTGGTTCCATGGTGGTGGTATGCGATTGAAGTCGACAGTACGGAGGTAGTCTGGAACAATTAAAGATTATGTGCAGAGAAGCTGAAACTCACCAAGAGGGGGAGGGGCCTATCTTTTATGTGGAAGCTGCCCCTCTTGTGGCTGATCTCGCCTGCGTGGACCTCCTGCAAGTGTCTCTGACGTTTATGTCAGAGACACTTGCAGGAGTTCAAGATTTGGGCTTACGCAGAATCCAAGGATCAGATCAAGGACCTCTGGATCCCCTTCATGAACAGGCACGTCAATCTGGACAAGACAAGGCCATGAAGAGGGGCGTTGGCAGACTCTGGCACAGACGTAGCGCAAAACAAACAAATGCTGGGAATGACGGGCCCTGGTCTTGCCTATCCTGCATGGCTTGGCAGAAACAAGCTTTCGGACCCTCCCACCAGCCATGATCCACGTGACACAAGCTCAGCCACATCGTTATCGAGCCACATATATTTATTATCGCGCTACTCCAAACACCTAGATCTCATGTAAAACGCATTCCTTACCACTTCAACTCCGCAATTATGGCTCGGCTTTCGACGGTGAACAATCCAGCTCCAGATCCAACTGCAATAAATCTTACTCGCATGATCGCACGATTACAAAAGATCCTCATTTCCCCTGATCAAGACACAGAGTCCAAACTCCGGAGTTCGAGCCTGGAGAGGGAGAAGGTTGGGACTGTAAGTTAATCTGGCCTCTGCCTTTCAGTGATGCGTCTCATAATAAGAGTGTAGAATCTCGAGCACGCCCGATCACTCCTCTTAAAATTAGAACAGGATGCCCAGAACATTAAAGTCCAGACGCGGAAACAAGAGACACAGATGGAGCTTTCTAAGAAGCGGGAGATGATCCAAAGATTGAGTGAACGGTTAGAGGAACTCCATGAAGTTGGTCTCATCCCACTCAGAAATAGGAAGACATATACTGATGATGGATAGCTGGGCGCAAACGAAGACCAAGACGATGACTCCTCAGAAGGAGAAGACCTCCTGGGCGAAGACACACCCTCCGAAGAAACCGACTCCCACTCACACGCCTCACATATCGATCCCCAATCCAATACCCCCTCCCCACTACAAGCCACATCTCCCGCTTTAGCTCCCACGGAACCCTCACTTCTCCAACCGGAAATACCACCAACCCCCGACTTTCCCCCCTCACAAACATCACTCGAATCACAACCCGCCCTCCGCTCCCGAGCACCACGGTCCGAACGAGCAGAGCTTCTCTCCACAACCACCGGCTCCTCCATATCCCACACCTCCGAAGCCCTTCTCACACATAATCGCACCGAACAAGAGTCCCTAACCGCTTCTCTCCTCTCCATGGCCTCACAGCTCAAAACCAGTTCACAATCCTTCTCCGCCTCCCTCGAATCCGAGAAGACGATTCTCGATTCCGCCACCACGGGACTAGATAAAAACGAGCGCGGTATGGAAGCGGCACAGAAGAGAGTTGGAGCTTTGAGGAGATTGACGGAGGGAAGGGGATGGTGGGGTAGGATGTTGATGTATGCGTACATCGCGGGGTTGATGGTTCTTGCTATCTTGATTGTGTTTGTGCTGCCAAAGTTAAGGTTTTCTCCGGCCCTGTGGTGATTTAGCGCTGCGAAACTTTGGATGAGATATGGTATGGACTGGCTGGGACATTGTGGAGTTTTGGTTCATGAATAATCCTGGGAGCGGGTTTGGGGCGAAGAATGAATTACTGAGATGAGCCAACAGCGCACAGTACAATCACTTATTGATACCAATGAAAGTAATGTTTTGGATTCAGAATTGCTGAAGTAGTATTTGTGCCAGCCAATCGACCCTCAAAAGACACATATTGTAGCTATTGTGCGGATAACCTCCACCCCAACCATGAATCCATGATTGCAAGTTGAAGAGATCTGCGAACCTCTGCCTCAATCGAGGACTTTAGAGGATTTCCATGCTCGAGATTTCCATGAAAATAACCACCAGCACTGTAAGATTTCTCCACCCCTGTGTCCATCTTAAAAATCCACCAGAACCATAAATGAAAGAAAATAAAGAAATCACAAATCATCTCCCAATTATGCAACGTCTCTCCACCATCATATCCACATCTCCACCTCTGCAGCCAAATGCCAGTGTTCCACCACAGCAGATTCCCGGCACCTAGCAACACGACCTCGAGAAGCAGGTCGACGGACCTCCTAATCCGAGAGGTAAATAAGACCTGGCGGTGTAACGGCTCTCACAACCTCTTCAAACACACCTCTCAAACCGTCACTCTCCTGACTGCTCGGCGTCGTAGTTTGGGTCCGCTCAGTCTCACCACTCTCCTCACTTCCCAGCCTACTACCCATCTCAAAGCTCCTACCAATGTTAGTGTTGAAGCTAGTGCTGAAGCTGGCGTTCTTGGTATTGAAGCTCCCACCGTCCTCCTCAACCTCAGAATCAGCTCTGAAACCATTAAATCTGGACGGAACGCTGCTCTCCTCAGGAACCTCCCTCGAACCACTCTCCCTGGACGGACCCGTCGTGCCATCGTACTTAGAATCATCATCCTCAACCTCAGAGTCAGTATCATAAACCACCTCGCCTTCTCGTTCCTCTCCATCCTCGCCACTCTCCCCTTCTGTATTTGTCTTTTCGGATTTGCCTTCAGTAAGTTCCCTAACCCTCAACTCAGGTCTCACATACCCCTCGCACACCCAGCCCACCGGTCGTCCCAGGACAGGAGGCGTATAAACGAAGAACTCCTCACCCATCTTAATCCCCTCCAATCTTTGATCCCAATGGATACCTGTCTTCTTATAGAAGAAATCCTTGAAGTGAAAGAAGGCTTGAGAGAAAGACATCGGGCGGCAGTGGTCGCGGAAGTATGAGGTTTGGCGGTGGGAGCGCGAGAGCATGGCGCCGGTCATGAAGGTGAACGGGGGTCCGGCGTTAGATTCGAAGAGCTAGAACAGAAGGGTTAGTGAGTTTATTTGGAGGAAGAGAGACTTACGTAGCAAGTATACTTCTCCACCTGAACTCGTCCACCGATGTTAACCCGTGTAAGAGTGACTTTGTACTCAAAGTGATCAAAGGGATCGCAGTAAACATGATTGAGCGCTACTATTATTAGAAATTCCTCCCATGTCTCCTCTGAACGTATACTCACTATTATCAACCAAGGCCTTACTCGCTCTCGCACCCTCCTCAAACTTTCTCCGGTACTCAGCATGATCCGAGAATCCTTTCTTGATGCGGGCGAGTGTTCGATCAAGCGTGTACGGTCCCTCGGGTCTCAATCCCTTCTTCAATTTCTTGCCGAGCAGGCAGTCTTCAAGCCAATCAAAAACTATGATCTTGCATTGTTTCTTGCCGAGCTCCCAAGCTTTTTTGACTGAGAGAGCAATTAGTTGTGCGGTGCATGAGAAGTGGAGGAGGCTCACCTTGCTGAGTGCGCTTCTTGTAGTCTTCGATTGAGCAGATGAGGTGGGTGGTATCTGGACCAACTTCTCGTTCGTAGGTGCCACCATGAGCGGTGATCCATTTGGAAATGGAGTCGTAGGTGATGGGTTGCGGGTCGCTCTTGCTTGTGGTCATAATAGTACCTGCGATGGACATCACCTTGCCTTTGAAGATTGCTTTCATGGGTCGTTCATTTTTGACAGTTGCTTTGCGAGCTTGGATCGGGCTGGGAGCTACTCTTCGAGATCCGCCTGAGGTGCTGCTAGGATTACGGGAAATTAGTCTCTTCGAACCAAACTTGAATTTGGGCGGAGCCATGACGAGGTCTTGTAATCGATGTGCAGTGCGACGTAATCTGATTCAAGACTCGACAAGCTTCAGCGAAGGAGGGTAGAGGTGGGTTGTATGGAAAGTGAAGGGTTTGCAGAGGAGGAAGTGTTGCCGAACGAGGGGGGGTGAGTGAGTTGATGATTGATTCCAGGACGGAAGGTCGAAAGTAGGCAATTGGTAGAAGATAAACAACCACCGACGACGTAGAAATGCGAGAGGCCGATACGGAAAGGCGATGGGTAGGTTAAGATGGTGCAGTGAAGTACGGCGCTTGATGTTTGTACCCGAGAAGGTCGAGCTTCGCTTGATCTCCTCAGCAAGCGGAGTGAAAAGGAGGGCGAAGCAAAACCGATGGGGGCAGGACGGGATAGCCGATGTTCGCAAATGATCCTCGAGAGGTTGGGATAATGCTGAGGGATTGGGAAACGAAGAAGAACTTCTGAAGGTGTGATGTAATTGGGGAGTTGGAATGAAAGAATTGTTGTGGGAGTAGTCGAAGTAGTGTAGCGTAATGTAGGGGTTTTGGATGACTATACCAGGCTCGGTTGAACAATCAAGTGCAGCGTTGTCGAGGACCGAGGATTGAATTCATTGCTCTGAAAATGCAGGTACTTTCGCAAAGGGCTTCGCTTGTCTCAATGGCCAAGAAAAGTTGGTACAACGCAGGGAAATAGCACTAAAGAGGATAGCAGGACGGCTATCTTGAAAACGGATGGAAGATTCACGCATGCGTCAAATCATAGCAATCGATGCATTCAAAGTCAAGAAAACGACTTGAATTCACGTAACAAACGCACAAGGACTTTCTAGGGAATTAGAAATTCAGTGCTTTTCACTCTACCGAACGCCTCTAGCAGCCTTTATGAATGCATGTATCTTCGCGACACTCTGGATGCCATTTTCTTCAACTCCTGAGCTAACATCAACGCCAATGATTCTATCACCGAGTTCACCAGCAACACGCACTGCATGCGCAACATTCTCTGGATTGAGCCCACCGGCAAGCAATACTCTCAGTTCTGGGTCTTTGGCGAGAACGGAGTTAACGTCATCCATATCTATCTTCTGACCAGTTCCACCAATGCCAGAATCAAGTAAAGGCACGGTGTGATAGCCTCGTCGTCTCAGTTCTGGTTGGCTAGGCTTGAAAGTTCGGATCACTGGAACAGGAATCGAGTTCGCCCATTCCAGGGGCTCATTACCATGGAGTTGAACAATATCGAGCTCATAAGCCTTCTGTAGCTCTAGGACCTCTTCCAACGGCTGGTTTTGGAAGACGCCGACCAGCAATGGTCGATGACTCGAGATATTCGATGCCGCATTCGCAAAGAAGTCTGATGCCTGCCTGCTGATTCGGTCACTAACTACCCTGCCAGTAGTGATCCTTGATTCGTGAACCACCTTGGATATTGCAACAGCGTCCTTATACAGAACATGTCGCCCTCTGCCTGGGACAAGTATGATTCCAATCAAATCTGCACCAGCTCTGATCGCTTCTGCTGCAGTTTCTGCTTTTCTTGTTCCGCAAATCTTGACCAGGAGCTGTCCAGGCTCTGATTTTAATATTGCTTCTGAACCTCCAAGAAGTTCACGGATGAACTGAGCCGTATCACTGGCACGCATCAACGCCTCGCCCACTAGGACTGCGCCAACTCCATTCTTCTGGTATGCCTCGACATCCTTTGCTCCCGAGATACCGCTCAAAGCACATACGATTGTCTCTTTTGGAACCTGATCAAGAAGACGGCTGGTCGTGTCCAGATCCACTTCGAAGCTGGTAAGATTTCGATTGTTCACGCCGATGACCTTTGAGCCAAGCTTGACAGCCACAGCCATTTCCTCGGCGGTATTGACTTCCACCAAGGGCTCCATACCAAGAGATTGAGAGTATTGGTACAGCCGTGTCAAAGTAAGCTCGTCTAGCATCTTCACGATCAGCAGAACAGTATCTGCACCAGCAAGTCTGGCCTCTAAGATTTGGTACTCCTCGAATATAAACTCCTTACGTAGCACGGCTGGTCGATTTGGCATTCCTTCAAGAGCCTGCCGTACAGCGCGGAGGTCATCTATGCTTCCTTTGAACCATTCAGGTTCGGTGAGAACGGAAATGACGCTTGCACCAGCCAATGCATACGTTCTAGCCTGAGCTGGAGCACATGCTGACAATGAGATGACTCCCTTTGACGGTGACGCTCGTTTAATCTCAGCCATCAGAGAAAGTGGAAATGGTGACTTGCGCAGTCGGTCGACAAATGAGACGAGGGGAGGCGCGATGTCGAGATCGTACGCAGCTTGAAGATCAGTCGGTCGTTGAGATGGTATGATTTTCTGAGCTGTGACAACAGCTTTGCGGTGCGCAAATATCCTTTCTAAGATATTCTCCTTCTTCCCGCTGGTCGTTCCGTTTATAATCTGCTTGCTTTGACTCGTATGCTCTTCCTGAAATGTTTCATTCTCCACCCAGGTACCTCCTCGCATGTTGAGGAAATTCTTGAGCATTTGCCGACCCTTTTCTGTCAAGATACTTTCCGGGTGATATTGTACGCCTTCCACTACATACTCCTTGTGGCGAACTCCCATGATAATTCCTTTCCCGCCATCAGGTCCAGCCTCAATCCAGGATGAGACTTCCAAGCATTCAGGCAGAGTAGGATGTGTTCCTGCTAGAGAGTGGTATCGGGTGACTGGAATATCTTGGGGGACGTCCGCGTAGACGCCTTTCGTATCATGTCGCAGCGGGGATGTTTTGCCATGCAAGATCTCCCCAGCGTAACTCACATCACCTCCCCAGAGGTCAATCATGCATTGCCTGCGATGAATAAGCCTGTATTCTGTTCTCGCACAACAGGAGTAACTCACTGTCCCATGCAGACCCCAAGGATGGGGATCTTGCCAGCGAAATACTGGATAGCATCTCTACTGACCCCAGAGTCTGTTTTAGGGTGTCCAGGGCCAGGACTAATGACCAATTGGGTTGGATTGAGCGCAGAAAGAGCTTCAACTGTGATTGCATCATTCCGGAAGACGGTCACACTGGCACCTTCAAGAACAAGGTATTGGTAAATATTCCAAGTAAACGAATCGAAGTTGTCTATCAAAATGACATTCGTTGCATTATCCAGAGGGGGAGTTGCCTCCGGCTGGTGCGGAGAGTGGTCTATCAGATCGAGTGCGGCCATGGTGACGAGGCGAGACGAGATGAGGAGAGAAGAAGAGAGTAAACTGCTTTGATTGATGAAGAAGAGGGGAGAAGGAAAAGGTGACCCGTCTGATGTGAGATTATTTACTCCATCCCTGTCAACACCGGATCGGAAAAACTTTGTTTGGCGGCCGACAAGTCGCGTCGCCCGCCGCGAATTTCTGTCGCAACTCAAGCGCCTTGCTCGTCCCCTCCGAGCTCGCTCATGCTCCAAGCAACGCTTCGCCACCCCGTCCGGCTTGCTGAGCTGAGTAGTAATGGCCCCAATACCGAACTCCAGCTACTTTCCCTCTCTGGAGAGATGTCTGAACGGAGACCTGCTGGTCGTGTGAGTTCACCTTCACCTCTGCCCGACAAGCTTCTAACGCAAAATGCAGCTCCTGGAAGACCGTCTACTCTGCCATTACGAGCGACATCGAAATTGGAACCGACCATCGAGCTGTGATCGAGCGTTTTCTATCGGATCCAGAGGTCGTACAACTGTTGGCTCGCCCATTTGACGCCTACCCTCCGCCCTCTACCCAAAGCAAAGCTACCTTCGAGACGAAAACCTCAGCAATCAATGTAACACCCTCATCGAGTGCGAAGTATGACATCAAAGAGATCAAGGAGGACTCGCTGTGGTTGAGTAAAGTAGCTAAGCTCGACGAAGTGTCAGCCTTGCGACTGGTGACCGAAGAGTGCCAGTTTCGAACATCTGCGCAGCTTCTGGCCCAGTTTTCGGAAGAGGAGCTAGCAAGCATAAGAGATGCTGCCGGAAACAGCCAGTATTCAAGCTCAATACCTCTTTCTCTCCTGGTACAAGGTCTGGACCCAGAAGCTATTCAACAGCAATTTGCACGAAAAGACAGAAGGAAACAGCGCATTCTACGAACATACTTCTCTGAACGGCGGTATCTTCTAAAGACTTCCGAGCGACTGCTTGATGCTGCCTTTCTACATCAAGCTAAAGAGCAAAATGCCGCTGACAGGGGCAAAGGCAAGGGTAAAGCGGTGGAATTGGAGCCATCATGGCAAGCCAACTGTGGCATAGCGATTGCCTCCCAGCAGGATATGGCCAATCCCCAATCTTTCATCTTACGATGTATTCACGCAATTGGCGCAACTCTGAAAAAGCTCGAGGAAAGGAGCGGATGGTCTGATCTAGATGGTGAAAGGGGAGACATCGAGATCGAGTGGATACGTAGTCAATTCACCGAGGCTACACATGCTATGGAACTGCTATGGCAGTTTATCGTAAATGCCATGGGCATTCCAATCGGTCGAGCTGTCTTGGAGTGGTTCCGTCTTCAACAATCCTACGGTTTTTTCAACAGTTTCGAATCGGTAGGTATACGACTCCGTTGGCCGGCGAATTTGTACTAATTTACGTGCATAGGACGAGCCATCTATCCAAGCGTCATTCCATCAATTTAGATCAATCGCCACTATAGTATCGCTGGGGATGTTGAATCTTCCCACTACTCTCGATCGGGTGGCCGAGCCAACGAGTACCGAGGACGTCTCGTCTGAAACCTCCATCGATGAAGCGTTCCTCTTGAACCCCAGGACAGTCACTGAAATTCAAGAGATATTCCTGCAGGCTGCAGATACGGGCTTTGAGACAGTTGGTCCTGCTCTCCTGGCGTGGGGTTTGATCCTACGAGAGCTGAATATCAGGGTTGAGAGGAAGAAAGCAGCCAACCAAATCGATGCTGAGTCTTACAACCCTCGATCATCTAGTGATTCGGAAATTGCTATGGTACCTGATCCTTACGAGCAGACCTTGGAAGAGATAAAGGGCGTCCTCGACGAAGACCCCATTGACTTTCTTGCCCGCAGAGCTGTCAATAGCTGTCGTGTCTTTCAAACAATCGCAACCCTCTCCTTGCAGCTAGGAAACACATCGACAGGACTTTTCTCAAACTCTGTTTCAGCAAAAATGCGCATGTACCTTTTGGATCTCATCAAAAACAGTACTATAGTCGGCTACATCCCTGAGATCATCGAGGCGACGCTTGCAACTTTGACCGGCAATGAGAGCTATTGGGATATCTTGGATTCGAAACCTATTGATGTGGAGAATGATCCAGTCGCGATGTTTTTGACAGACGACGTGCTCGTCAATGGTCTTCTGAAAAACTCACAATTTAGATATCCTTGGGAGGCGCTCCCATTTTTGCAGATGATCCGCGCTTTAGCATCCTGTTCATCCTGTTATGACAACGAGAATTCTAACTCAGCACTAATATTTCTGGAATCGATTCCCATGTTCACCTATACGATGCCGGCGGACTTTGATGGCTACGAGACCGTGCAAGAAGAAGAGAACGCCAACAACATTCGTCTAACACAACCAGTAATGCTCTTCGAGCCTCGCTTAAAAGGTTTCAGAAATTTTGGCGGACAAAATCGATTGCTGGCGGTGGCAAGAGTTGACGAGGACTTCTGCATCTCGGCCGGAACTCACGGGCGCATCATATCCGAGTCTGGACCCAAGGTCGCTTTCTGGTACCACCAATATCATGGACTGAAGTACTTTGGAAAACTATTGGAGACGTTCCTAGCTGCGAGCGCCGAAGTCGATGCCACAACACATCAGCCCGTCGACCGTGATTCAGTCAGCGAAATCATTGGAATTATTGCAACTCTGCTCCTGAGCATTTCCAGATCTGCCCACGACAATCCAAATTCTATTGAGGACGCTCGTAAGATTTTAGAAATTGCCAGCTCCGGACTCAATCGAAATCGCGATGTCATATCTGTCATATTTGATATCTTCGAAGAAGAGCTGCAGAACCTATCAGCTTGTTCTGGATCCGATGTTCCATTGCAGATTCTTGTTAGCTGCATTCATTTCATCCATGCAACGACCCCTATCTCACCAGGACGCGTGTGGCCTCTCATGTCGAGAACTGCGCTCCTTGCCGTTAGCCGGGGCAAAGGGAAATTACCAAGCATTGTTGAAAGTGTAGAGCTCCTCTCCGGAAGATATGAGTTCCTGATATCTTGCTGCCGTCTATATGAATCACTTGTAGAAGATTTCGCTTCCAATGCAATCCGAAGAAGAAGCAGGGCTAAATCTTCAGCAAGATTGAATGACGGCGATGAGGACGTCAGTACAGGGATACCTGACCTGGTGCTTGCCAAAATTCTGCTTTCGTTTACTCGCTACCTAGTCGATGTTCTCGAAAGCTCGCCCGGCTGGAAATACGCAGAACAAGGCGACCGACAACGGATTTGCGAAATCATTAGTCGCACGTACAATAAAGTGCTTGAATACGCGTATGGTATCGAAACCTCAATAGACACGAAGGAAGAGGAGCCGCCAACTAAGATAAATCGGCTCCTCAAGTCTGTTGAGTCGCCAAAGAAGAAGGAAAACCTCACCAAGATTATGGAGCCTTTGATGCCGTCGGCACTGCTTCTAGTTGAGAGTTTCTTGTCTGCTTCTTCTGGTACCCTACGATTTCAGCCTTTACTACGCTCGTACTACGATGGTCTTGAGACCCCCGATATGGCCATCTTGCCGAATCTTCTGAACTTATGGACGGCACAAGTCAACGCTGTCCTTTCTTTCTCAAAGACACTGCTGCGAGTCAGTGCAATGCTTGGACGACCACCTTCTCAACTGGAAAACCAGTTGTTCAAGGTTTCGTCACTCATTGCACGTTTATATGTTGTGAACGATACGTATCGGACCTCTGTCGTTAAGCTTTTTGAATCATTGATTGTCACAGCGTCCAACAATACTTCGGAGCCGCCCTCTCTCCTTGGCCACCTGGGTCCACAGACGGCAAAGAACTTCCTGCATGTTTTATCAGATCTTGATAAGCCTCTGTCACGGGACGAAAATGTCAGAAGCATTTGGGACTTCTTATCTAAAGTTGTGAGCAGCAGGCAACAATGGTTCGCCAATTATCTCCTGACAGGTAAAACGCCCAGGGAAGCGCTCACAGCGAAGACATCTGGAAAGGAGTTGGCCGCTCTCGATAAGCCTCTTCTTACAACCGCCCTAGAAGCACTGACCGGTATCAACGAGCTTGCTAAGACTGAAGCACTACCTATGCTTCAGTTTGTCACGCTAGCGCAGAACTTTTGGCCATGGACTGTCTGCAATTCGCCGAAGTATGGAGACTTCATCAAGGCCATCTCCAATTTTGTTGGCCACTTCAAACCGATACAGCAGTCGACAAATCTCGAAGTCGCTATTGACGCCTGTCACCAGACCCGTATTGCGGCTTATGTTGCCGAGATTCTTGCAATGCATCTGTTCCATGCAAGACAGACCGGAATTCCCACATCTATACCTGAACTGTTACCGAACTTGTCGTATTTCACCAGGTTTGCCGTCGGAATCCCAAACTATAATAACTCGCTACATGCTCTCCTAAAACAAAATTTCGAAACTCGATATCCTGGCTGCACACTACGAGATTTGAAACGAACTACCCTGGAGGAGCATCAGTATGGGAAGGGATATTTCTACAATCTACAACTTGCCAATAAGATGCTATCTATGAGTGAAGCTTGGACGGGACGCAGCGACAATGGCCTCCGAGCTGAACTTGCAAATGCAAACGTCAACTTGTCACTCGTCGACGCGCATATCGTAAGTACCTGGCCCTCTTTCGCAAGACCTTACTAATTCTGCCTAGGCACTCTTCCACAGTTGGAGATATCTTTCGATTGAACTGAGCGGCAACGCAGGAAATCAAGACCTCCAAAAACTATTGACAAAAGTGGTGGCTGACTGCCTCACTGCTAATATGAGACCCCAACCTCCAGAAGAGATCTTCTCGCGGTTATTACAAACCAGAGTAGACTTTGGTATTGTCCTCACTCAACGTTTGATTCAAGCAAACTCGACAGTGCCGGAGATGCAAGGTCTTCTTGGTACTGCCTGGGACGCTATTCGAGCTCTCAGAGGTTCATTCGACCGAGCCGTACCGGATGCTGATATTCTCTATTACAGATCGCTTCTCAAGCTTCTGTTCCTGACGATTCGCATTCACGCCGAAGCTAAACAACAAGACATGGCAAGGAACTTGCGTGCATCTAAGAGAATCGCTCAAGCGTCCTCCATTGGACCCGTCATCATGGAGATCGTGAACAACGTTGTCGCTGTAGGAATCCGCGAAATTGCATCGGTAATCCACGAGTCCCCCGCCGATTCCTCTCCCGAAGACTTCGCCCTTATCACCGGCATCTTGCAATCCTGCCTCCGTATCCCTGGCATCGAGCTTTGTCAATCTCAAATCGTCAACGTGCTCACACAAGCGGGCGTCCCTCGGCTAGTCGTAACCCTCTTCTCCTGGTCCGATAGTCTTGCTATCCATGGCGACCCGATCTATGGAGAGCTAAGCATGCTCTTCCTGCTCGAGCTCTCCTCCATGCCTTTAATGGCCGAGCAGCTTGCCATCGACGGCGTTTTAGGCCACCTTGCATCCGCGAACATCACCTCCTACCTCCGGAGCGGAAAAGTCGGTCCTTTCGCGGAATCGGCAGGCCTGCAACGCTGCTACAGCATCTGGGCACGAGGCATCCTTCCATTCCTGCTCAATCTCCTAGATGCAGTGCAAGCCTCTATTGCCACCGAAGTCTCTCTTTTCCTCGCACAATTTTCTAACCTGGTTAAACAATCCGAACAGTCTCTAGATGCTCCGGAAACGAATCGCATCATCCCTCAAGGAACGGTCAGATACATCACCCTCACGATCTGCTCGGAAACGCATTCTATGGCCCTTGTCACATTTATCCTGAACGGGTTCCGCGAGGCGTTGAAGGGAACGACGGATATCCCGGAGGTGAAATGGGATGCTAGCGGCGTTTTGGAAAATGTCGAGTTTTGGCTTAGCAGTAGGGCGCTATTGAAAGACAGGCTACTACCGATGGGAGAGCGGGAAATGGAGATGAGGAGAAAGGGCGGGCCGGCGGTCAGTGAATTGGAGAAGAAGGTGTTGAGTGAGTTGGAAGGCATCAAGGAGGTTCTCAATGGCGGCGAGAATGGCTCTTGATCCTTCGCGCTTCTATATCTGCATTTCGGGCGTTTGGGACAGAGTGTTATGGATGAACAAGAAAAGAATGAGGCTTTGATTATATTGTGCTTTGAAGGGAGATGAATGATAGTAGATAGATACCATGAATCGAGAATGATTCCAAGACTTGACATGCTGATTCTCACGTGCCGCACTTCCTCCTACGAATGCAAAACCGTTGCACGTCGCATTTTGGGATCGGCTTTTTTTTATTTGTTGACATCTGCCATCTTAATACTCAAGTCCGTCAGTATGTCACTGGGCTGATAATCAGACTTTGGGGTTGCTTCAGGAGTTGTTTTGAAGCAGGTTTAGTGCTTGTGTTTGGGAATGTCTCTCCATGACTCGGGTTCTTCGTCTCCTCTTTCTCCATGAAGCCCCTCGCTGAATTTCTGTAAGGAAGCAGAAAGCCTTAAACATGCTCGATTTGCATCATCGAAGAAACTTCGGAAAAGAAAGGAATGATTACGATGTGTTTTTTATCCGGAGAATAAAACCGCACCCGCTCCCAGCCTGCTCAAATTCGTTCTCAAACCCCTGAATAAACTTTCCGCAAGTGGAACGATACAAGCGGCGCTAAGCCCAAGTAGGCCCAAGGTCTTGGCACATCTTCCCCACCTCCACGAGATCCCCACACTTCAGTTCACTTCACTTCACTTCACTTTCTTAAACCCGCCTCCATATCTTCCCCCTTATCCCTCTCCAGATTGCGCTTCGCTCAAAGAGCGCTTCGATGAGGCGAAAGAACAGATGTCCCAACTAGCACCCCTCCTCCGCCAAATCACCAAGAAAGCTAGTCATCCTAATGGCTTGTTGTATGGGATGCAGCTGGAGCGCGCGAGAGTCAAGTACCTAGTGCGAGGGGAGTTAGAGGATGGGAAGGCAGCGATTGAGCTTGTTGTGCCTGAGAAGTCCGGAGCGGGGCTGAAGAAGGAGGATGAGGTGGAATGGGGAGAAAAGCTGGAGGGTGAAGGGGATGGGGTCAAGGAGGGGAAAGATGGTGATAGGGGAGGGAAGGAGGGCTAGAAGGGCTTGATGGGAAGAGCGTGAGGTCTCAGACTTGATGCACTGCGGATTTAAGCCATTAGCAGGGATGGTGACGAGGACGTTCTGATTCATGTGGCTGGTTAACCCTACTCATACCCTGTACAAGTAAATAGAATTCTCGTCTCTTCTTTGGAGTCTTCAAACATTGTCATATTTACAGCATAAGAACCCAGGTAGATTAATAAAAAATCACAATGTCAACGAGTCTCGGAGAAATGCTTCCCGATCTCGTATTTCGGAGCTGCACCTCATGTCCCAAAAGTCGATCAAGAAGCGCTGATTGGACGCGTTTACGAATGCGGAGAGAGTCTGACCTCTTCTCAGCTCGCAGAAGAACTTCCCAGAAACACAAAAATATGAGCTCGTTGATGAATTAATTGTGAAGGACTGTGAATCCGTTTTGTAATACCAGGAAGTCATGACCGAGGCATCGTCTGCGCCGGTAAAACAAAGGACGCGGATCAGCCATCCGAAGTCCAGAGCTGGCTGTACCACTTGTAAGTAGGTTCTCCTTGGTCTGTATGATCCAGACTCTGATCAGGGCATTCAAATAGGATTCGACGCTTAAAATGTGACGAGACGAAGCCGGAATGTATGAGATGCCTTCGATTCGAGGGCCGCTGTATTGGCTACCCGACACGCAAGGAAAAGCAATCATTATTCCGACACAACCACGATCGCAACAATTCCAGCACTGCCTCTGGTAAATCCGTCCCAATCGCTCAGAAGACTGACGCAAACTTCATACGCTCCTTCGATACATCTGTTAAGTTTCGCAACAAGGATGAACACCTCAGCTTCCTCGCATTTCAATATACAACCAAGGATGCATTGTGTCCGTACTACACAACTAGCAGCTTTACTTTATGGGACACTGTTTTGCAAGGATGTCATAAGGATGACTTCATCCGTGATGCTGTGATCGCGGTTGGGGCTTTGATAACATGTAATCGGAAACTGGTGAAGGATAGAGATGACAGACTAACGCGGGCACCATACGAGTATACCCCTCGCTACCAGTTTGCGCTCAAGCAATATGGACGCGCAGTGAAGAAGATGGGGATGGAGGTGTCGGGCGAGGAGCCAACATTGCGATCAGTTTTGATTGGATGTATCCTTGTGGTCTGTTTCGAAGCAATGTTTAGTAACCACGTTAAAGCTTTGACGCATGCAGTTGGAGGGCACTCAATCCTTCGGGGTTGGCTGATTTCTCAAGAGCATTCGACTTCTGACTTTTCAAAAAGTAAAGAGATGGCAAATCCAGCGGAGAGTGTCATCGAAGGCGAACTAGTCCGAGCTATCTCACGTCTGGACTTGCAGGTCGTGTCGCATACAGTGGATCCCCGACCTACACAAATTCATAAGGAGCTTCACGCAGAGGGGGCTGGAACACTCGAAAATATGCCCTCGATTTTCTCAAGCTTGGGAGAGGCGAGGATGTATTTAGACTTGGTTCAGCGCCGCACCTGGCACTTCGTGTTGGTGGTAGAAGGTGGACAATATGCGGAAACTGGCAAGGTCAAAGTTGAGGTGCCAATTGCCAAGCAAATTGGGACTATCACCCTGACAGACTGGGGCGAAGTCCATGGGATGTCAGATGGGTATCTCATGCATTCGGGTGAGATATCGCGATGGCAATCAGCGTTCCAGTCTCAGCTTTGTTCATCGAAGTATTGGAAAGCGGCGATGCTGTTGCAGCTACAGGCCGAGACCACAAGAGTTGGTCTTCACGGTTCTCTGAACAGGACAGAATGTGATTGGGATCGCTTCACCCCTGATTTCCAACTGATGATAGCCCACGCAAAGCAAGTCTTCGACGAAGAGTTCCTCCGAGACTGGCATGGATTCGCATTCGACGGCGGGGTAATTAAACCTTTGTGGATGATTGCTTGCTACTGTCGGGAACCGGTGACACGGCGGGATGCTATTGCTCTGATGAGAAAAGTGGCAGCCAAGGAATTTGGGATGCTTTAGTTCATGCGAGCGCTTGTGAGGTACAGATGTTCAGCGAAGAAGAAGGGATGGACGGGAATGGATTCATTCCTGAATCGGAACGATTCAAGATTACAGGAGGCTCGATCGACGGACTGCGGAGAACTGGAACAATAACCATTCGAAAGGTCGGGAGGAGAAACGATGGATCGGTGGACAAGAGAACTTTCTCATCGACGTTGTGAAAGTACATCTATACTAAGAAATCGGAGGACCTTTACCTGGTCTTCGGCAAAGGGGTAGCGGCCGGAGAGGGAGCAATTGTTCCAGCAAAGAATGAGCGAATGATGGCTTGTCCTAATGTGCCTGCTGACCAGCATCAATTGGCAGAAAGTAGGGGATCACATTCGGTGTTACTATGCAAGAATGCGAGGTACTCGTATTCAGGATAGGCACCAAGCTCAAGATACGCTTTGGCAGAGGTTGGGATTCGGGAAGGAATAGAGGAGTGAAATTTGCACTGGCAGTATTGTCCCATAGCCCCTTCCAATTGGAGATGGCCTGCCGCTTACTTCATTTGAGACCAAATGTTTCATTATGGCGCCTTTTATTGATCGGCTCGGACTATCCCATCCACTTATACACCAAACATACATACAAGAAAGTCGTAACAAAACATCGCTGTCTGTTCATGCATTTGGAAATGTCTGTTCACCCAGCTCTTTGCCACCAAGCACCGCCAATCGATTTCGCTAACCATCGATCTAATAGCCAATCCCAGAGAGACCTCGAGACTCCGTTCGATCACGACTCCCAACGGCCTGGCCCGTAATCATCTCAGGTCGTAAAGAAAGCCCGCTCATCTATAAGCATATAGCTACCGGCTCTCAAATGGTCGGCTTTCCCAGGAGCAGGAAGCAGAACCATGCGATATTCAAACACATATGCAATGGTCGATCGGGTTGTTCGTCCAACTATCGATGACCAATCACTCCAACAAATCAAGTGCTTTGTACTCCAACCCATTTCTCGCTGTACTTGTTCAATTCGTGGTAGGGAAAGGTGTTTCACTTAAGACGACAATGAAGAAAAGGTTTTCAGGGTACCCGATCTTTGGAAAACAAACCATTATATCGCGGGGGAGAAACAGTGCAAGGCAAAAGGAAACTCGTTTGCCCAATAGGAGCTCCTTGCTGAGCTCCGGTTTTCAAGACTGCGCCGAAGGTAGAAAGGTAGTCGAATCTTGTTCAACTCCGTCGATGATATTGTTCTTAGAATGTCATCGGTGTGACTGCTGAACTTGGGATGTAACCTTCTCCTCAACGGTCCCCTCAGGATTCTCCTCTCTCATAACATCCATGCTCTTGCCCCGTGCTGGAAGTAACGTTCCGAGGCGTTCGGTGGAAGCTGGTGGGCTCTTATTTCGCTCCTTCTCAGCACCCTTTTCTCGGTTCTCCTCTCGCTTCTCGCGCATCTTATTCTTAATCCAGCCCAAAGGACCTTTCTTCTCTTCACCGCCAACACCAGCAGAACCACTGTCGTTGCTTGATTGGAGATGAGTGCCGACTAGCGTAGAATCAGAACTAACGGGTATAGTGTCACCGGCGGAGCTCTTGCGTGGACGGGCTGAGCTGCCAATCGAGCTTGAACTCGCTCCTGCGCCAGCATCAGACCCAAGACCCTTCTTTGTTGGAGTGAGAGCGTGACCCAAAGATTGCGAGTCATCTCGATGCCGTGAAATTCTCCACCTGGAGCGTTTTTCTTTCTGTTCATTGGTACCGGTATTATCATGATGATCAATATCAGAATGATCGTTGATTGATGATCGAGAATGTAGAGATGATGCCGGAGAGGCAGGCTTTAGTGTACGCTCAGATTGTTGCGAGTCCTCATGTCGAGTAGGGAACTGGGCAGGCTGATCGGCGCGGGGTGTCTCTGTCAAAGGTGGTGTTGCATCAGTGGTAGGGTTTCTGGATGGGATGCTCTCCAACTGAGGATGCTCTGCAGTCTCACGGCCGGTACACGCTGCAGGAAGGCCAGGCGACTGAGCACCGCTTTGTTGGCCATTAAGAGAATGTGTTGAGCTTTGCGCGCTGGGATTGGAGCTCGTTGGGCCGCGTTTCTTTTTGAGCTTATTCGGTGGCTTCTTTTCGCTGTCTACAGTAGGAGATCTTTGGAAGAAGCTTGATACATTGCGCTCGCGATTAGGGGTGGAGACAGCTGGTTGATCACCGAGTAATCTGTCTTGACTTGTCACAGTAGAAGCTGCATTTGAAGATGGAGCTAGGCTCGAGACTGGTGCTGGTCCGGGTGATGCAGGCGTTACATTAACATTTATCAAACCTGCAGCCGCAGGCGAGAGTCCTCGTGGAGTGACTTGCTGGTTGCTGGAAAATACGCCTGCAGTTGGCGAAGGCGATCCCGAATTCTTCTGTAATCTGTTCGAAGGTAGCCCTGGAGATCGCTTTGATGGAACTGTATTGCTTCGATGTACGCCGCCTGTTGGTGTTGTCGCCAATGCTGGACTTGCAGGGCTCGGAGCACCAGTAGATTGTCTCGAGTTTCGTGAGGAGACTGACACATTACGTCGAATGCCTCCATATTTCCGTACACTATCAGCGCCAGCACTCGCATTCGAGGAGGATCGTGCAACCGCGTTCGATTTTCCAGGAGTATTCGGTGTCCCAATCGGAGGTGTTCCACCGTTCTGAACTTCTTGGACAGTCTTCTCGTCAGCAGCAGTACCACGCATTCCGATAAGGAAGTTATCCTGATTCTCAATCAAGAAAATCAACACGTCTTGGCTCAAGCGATACTGCTCCGGCCGCATGTCATGCTGTGGATGCGAAAGAATTCCTGGTTGGAAAATAGCTGCGAGATTTGCCGAGGTCATTCGGTTCTCGTCGGATTTTGATGCAAAAACGGCCAGTAAATCAAGAATGTAGAGGAGGAGTTGGCGATTTAGCGGGGGCAGCTCGGTGATCAATTGCTGATAAGTGGCAATAGCTTTGTCATGGTCGAAATCATCCTGTAGTTGTGGTCCCTCCTCGTCGCCAACAGCTTCCTTCGTGTGGCCGGCCAGAGGTTCTCGAAATCGGTCGTATAGATCCAAGGGCACAATCGGCTCGGGAAGGTTGTTCAGATATCTCCTCAACACGTTTGCCGCATCGTGTACCGTGTATCCTGCCCAATCCAGTCCCTTTCCATACCGGTCAGGTGAGTCGAATATCATCTTCAATTCCTTGATTCGCTTCTCAGAACCACTCAGGCGAAAAATTCCTTCGACATTCGTAGCTTGAGTAACCTGTTAGCTTACAAGGTCCAGACGCGTTGAACAAAAAACGCACCTTTCTCCTTTAGATATACACCACACTTCGCCACCACAATCGGGACATAGCCATATATGTAGCTCTTTCCTTCTCCGTCAACGAGCGAGATGGCAACGTTCGCATAGGTGATGCTCTGCCGGAGCGGGACGCCGAAGATGCCTGGGGCTGGCTCGGGTTCTGGTTCTACAGGTTCAGCATTTGACTCAACATTTGTTTCAACATTCGCTTCAACAGGTGACTTCCATCTCAATCGGGTAAAAAAGCGTAGTACAACATTGCGCTTCTGAACGGGAAGTATACCAGCACCCAACGCTTCACTTGAGTCATTACCTAGCGGAGTAATGAACAGACTGCTGTGGCGTCGTCTCCCAAACTTGTCTCGCTTGACACTGGGACTGGGAGACGTGAGTGAAGGTGTGTGGATCAACATGCTTTGGGATCTCTTCTGTCTCATCTGTCTCATCTGCTGAGGAGGGTTGTGTAGAAACAGACACGAGTGTCGTCTTTGGGGCAAGTGTGCTGGCTGTGCTGACTGATAGACATTGTCGAAGATAGAATTGCTGAAAGACAAGCTTCGTCGAAAGCCCTTGGCCCCGGCTAAGGCTAGTGTCTTTTCATCTTCTTCAGACGGGAGCAACCCATCAAAAGCTGGCGAGTCCTCAGTCATTGGGTATTCGATGAAGTTTGCGGCTCTAAGGCCCGAATTTTCAATGACTGGTGTAAACTCCCTGCGAGTGTAGAGTTCACCAATGTAGAATGGAGTGTACAGATCGTTTTGCAGGCAAGGACGCTGAAAAGGATGCTGAGAAGGATGTTGAGGATGACGCTGAGGGGGATGCTGGCAAGGAGGCTGCTGAGGTTGTTGTAAAGAGGATGGTGAGGAATTACCATGAGTGTCATGATTCTTTGTATTCTTCCCAAATGTCTTCCACCATGATTTTAAGCTCTGTTTTGTTGGAGGCGATGTGGCTGCAGTGGAGGCAAGAACTGGGGCAGGCTGTGGGTTCGCGAAAGGCTGCTGGGAGGTGGACGAGGCTGGAAGGTCGGAAGCCATGATGGACGCGCTCTATGTGAATCTGCAAGTCGCCGATATAGGGGGTATCTGGTGAGTCCAGCGACAGGACTCCGCAGTGGACCGACAGGTCCGGGTAAGGTTGACACTGGCCCTCAGGCTGTCGATGTGGGGAGTGAGCCGCGGGACTGATCTCAATTAGCTGGCAGAAGACCTATAGCTGTAGCAGAAGTCTTCTCGGGGTCGAAAGAGCTCAGCAAGTGCGCGATGCCAGCCAGAATGCCCTCGGGTAGATCAGCAAGAGGAGTGTCGAGTTTGAGTTGTAGACTTGGCTGGGCGCAAGACGCGACCGAGGGAAATGACGCACAGGATGTGCAAGTGAGAGTGGCTGGAGTGGAAGCTGGACTGGGCAATGCAGAAGAGGACGAAGCAAGCTAAGTGGGAGTTGAGCCGCGTCGTGCGCGACAAAGTGAGATGGGTTTGCCAGTATGGAGGAGTCGGTCTCTGAAGTTGGAGAGTTGAAGTTGAACTCTGGGAAAGCCGCTAGCGGCTAGCACCCGCCCTATCACCAAGGAGGAGAGGAGAGTTTCTGACTTGTGTGTCTGATGACACCCCAAAATCTGCAAATCCCATCGGCCTAAGCATTTGCACAGTCCGGGAATGTCTCTGGTTCACGAAGAGGATTGATCTCAAGTAGATGCTGTTTAGATGAAGCCGATTTGGTTTTCGCAGCAAAGTCATGGTCTCGACTCACTCCCAAACGTTGACAGGCCCGGATTTGCAGACCGCCCAGTAGCAAGCAGGCTTTTCCAATTTTAGACACTCAGCAACGGCTTTGTGCCTGAATTGAAGGGCAATAGCTTAAGAGCATTGTGGTGGAGGACTGAGAGAGAGGCATTCATTTACAAAGGACTTAGAGAAAATGAATACACAGTTCAGACACATTCTCAGCTGAGACTACCATGTCATGCATAACAAATTTCTATGTACTCTGTGCCTCTCAAAGGCGAGTGCCTTTTTGCTTCTTCCTCTGAAAAAGGATCTGACTGAACAGGGATGGGATGGATAACCTCCGGCCGCTAGGGATCGTCTAAATTCTGCAGTGGTTCATCACGAACGCCAAAAGATTCGGAAGCTTCCAACATCTCAATCCCCCCGTATTGGAATCGCAATCCTCGACCCAAAATCAACTACGGGTACAGACGGATTGAGCCAGAGTCTCCGCCTGCTTCCATATCGCCTCGCATACATTCAAGATGGATGGGTTCGTGCCTCTTCAGGACAATGATCCCTCGAAAGTACTGACAACATCAACAGACTTACGGCCGCCGAGCAAAGAGAGTTTGAGTCTCGAATGCAGAAGAAGCAAATGAAGGAATTCATGGGCGTGAGTTGAAACATTTGTTTGGTCAGATACGAGCTGCAGGTTGAGACGTAGAGCTATTTCGTTGGATGAAGTTTGGCCTTACCTTGGAGCTTCCTCCCGCCTACCGCACACTCATTTCGAAGCCTCTATCAAATTCTCAACCATCTGCTCTCCATTCAAGTATGGAAGATGTCCAGTTGGAAGATTCCTTGGCTGGGCTTGCTTGTCATCTTTCGCCACGTCCGCTGCGTGCCACTGCCCGGATCACCTATCTTAGAATTTCACTGACTCTCTATCACCCAGATGTTCTCACACCTCGTATCTCACTGCTTCGATTCCTGCGTCGACGATTTTACCACCAAATCCCTAATCCAACGCGAAACCGGCTGCGTATCTCGATGTGTCAAGAAGTTCATGGCGGGGAGCGAGAGGATTTCACAGAGATTCCAAGAAGGGCAAACACAAATGATGGCTCAACCTCCTCCGGGTCGATAAAAGTTTCGCTGAAGTGAGGTGGGGGTTCATACTTGATGAGTTGTACGATACAGAGGATGGGAGGCTTCTTGTGTGGTAAAATACCTAGGGAACGGGTGGTCGTCCGGCACCGAGATTAGAGTGCTTAGATGTGCATGTCATGAATGGGAACCAGATTCAACTCCTGCAGAAGCTACATTTCAACACTCGAGGGCTTAGGGACAACTATCGAATACTTGTTTGATACTTCGTTGGACCCACAAGCTCTTGTTTCGGTCGCCAACCACAAAATCTTCTCAAGGTTTGCTCAGCTGGACTTTCATCCCAGTCTCTAACAGACTCCCGTTCAGGCGAGTGCCACCATCTTCAGCATCAGAAATTTGAGCTGTATTTTGCCAATTTATGTTAATTAGTTCGCTCTTGGCCAAGAAGAGGTTGCGCACGTGATAACTGTTTTGGGTACATTGCCCTCCTTTGCCTTCAAAAATAATCCACCATAGTCACCTTACCCTCTCTACCTCTTAGCTCGAAACCTTCGTTCCATAGCATCATCGCCTCCACCAGCGCTTGTAACCGCAATATTCAAAATTGTAATATCCCGGAACACAGGGACTCAGAGATCGTCAGTGTACCAAAGCTTGCGTGCATTCTTTGCCTTGACGAGCCGCCGTCAGGAGGCCTGGAGGCGTATCTTTTCAGACAACCCTCCAGCAGTTGACGGTAGGGGTGGATAATTATATATAATCCCCACCCTATTATGGTATAATTATAAATAAAGCTCTTGACCCCATTATGCGTTATTTTATGTGGGTCCAATGGAGGCTTGGAATTGGACCAATCACAGGGCTAGAAATTAATGCACGTGACAACCATTTCTCCCACTTTGCAGAACCATCCTTCCTGCATATCAGTAAAATCACCACCAAAACCACCACTATTAACACCACTATGTCGCCTCCAACCAATGCTAATAGTGCCCACGGCGACAAGCTTACCACGGCTCAATTTACCTTCATTTATCCTACCCCTGGATGTGGATTTGTAATGAAGAAGGCCCAGTGTAAGCACTGTACGATTGCCCCCAGGGCTTGGAATATTACTACGAACCAGGGCCCTTACTTGAAGATTTGCGAAGGTTGGAAGAAATATCAAGTGGATTACTATATTGATTTGGTATTAACAAAGAGAAAACAGCCGTCTGTGGCTAATCATTTTGTGATCAGAGACTCTACTACGGAAGAGCTATTTACACTCGCTATTTATACCTCTACTTGCAGTTTCTCCTAATTCGAAACCCCCGAATAGAGAGCCTTTTATCTGAAACTAGGCTTTAAAGCTCCGAATCGCAAGACCCTTACTGGGTCCCTCCTTTCCTCCTGCTATGATAAAATCAAAGCCAAAGTTCAGCTTATTGCAGATGCGGCATCCTATATTCAAATTATTACCGATAGTTCTTCGAATATTGGCAAGGTGTGTATTAAAAATACATCGTTTCTGGTAGATAGCATATCATATTATTGGAATTCAATTGGAATTAGTACTATAAAGGCAGGAGCAGCTTGGATAGTTAAGAACGTAATCAAAAATGCGAAGGAGATTACAAAAGGATATCTCAATCAATGGACTGCTTTCTCCTCCGATACCTGCAATACCCAAAGGAGAGTATGGTCTGATCTTATTAAGTAACCAGAAGCTTCTCACATTATTTCTATACCATACGATTCCTATGGAATTTAACTAATCTTTAAAGATCTTCTCTTTCCAGGTAAAGACCTCTTCTAAAACCAAATCGTTACTATAACCGGTACCTTCTTTAAGAACTTCTCTAATAAGATCGTCGCCGCATTCTCGAAATCGGACAAGCAATTAGCATATTTACGGGAAGCTATAAAGAAGTACGGAGGAATCGTCGCCTTAATTACAACTATTCCAACTCGCTGAGGCACACAAGTATATCAAATTGCCTCTATTAACAGGTCATCCGAAGCTTTAAAAGCATATACCGAACTTCCAGACAATAATCCTCGAGAACCGGTAGTAATTAAGTCTATACTCTACTACAATAATAATGATTAGCAAAAGAACAAGGTACTAGAACGGCTTCTTGAGCCTATTCATATATACCAAAAGATATCCGAATCGAATTACTCAATACTTGGGAAGATATATCCTCGTTAGATGGCAATTAATACTCACTTTCAAACATACCGGATATAAGGTAGCGGGCTATAGTAGAAGCAGGTCAATAATTACTATATATGTATTAGTAAAGGCAGATAGACCGTACAAATAGATATATAACTTTAACCTGTCTATCTGATAGCATATATACTCTTTCCAGAAAACCATAGTATTATTCTTACGGATTTATTTGCCGCTTAAATTAATGGTTTTATATTGGAAAAGCTTGGAAATAAGGGTTTTTACGAGTTCTTCTAATATAAGAAGAAGTAAGGGAATTTCCATTCTTTAAACCCTTATTGGACTCACTTTTCTGGTTAATCTATACCCTTTTGAGAAATCTCAGTAAGTTACTAATATCCTAATTATTTATATACTAATTATAGTAGGTAACCAAGTCTCCAGAATTATTGAAATTAGCCCTTGATCTTTTATATATAACTATAACGGCGGGATTAATATAATAGTCAAAGGCTCAAAGTTTAAAGAATCTCATATATTGAAAAATACTAAGCTATAAAACAAAGTAGGGAGGATGCCTCGACCTTTAGTATTATTCCGTCCAAATAATTCTGGCTTAGCTTCATTTTGTACCTATTTCCGATATCCTGTCTTTAGCAAATCATATCCTTATACTAGCTATTATATTACCCCTCCCCTAAAGAGAAGTCTAAATGCCTTTATTTAGGGAATTATTTAGCCGTAATATAGAAAAGAAAAAAGAGGAAATAATAGCCATTAATCCTATTTTATCTAATTCCTATAGCTTACTTATAATTAAAATATAGTCTTGACTTTACTAGAATAACCTAATTCCTAGTATATTCCGGCTAGTCCTTAGTATCTATTACTTGTATTATACCTATATCTATATTAATAATATAGTCTGGAAGTACTATATAGGCTATAGCTAATATTAGAACTATTATTATTGGGCGGTCTTTAAATAGGGATAGTAAATCGAGTTTATTTATTAATATAGGCTTTAATATAGTAGCTTACTTGCCTTTCTTCTTAGTTAGGATAGTAGTATTTGGCTTAATTATACCGTTTCTAAGCTACTTAATTAATTTCTGGGCCTTCTTGAACTTAATATATATATTCTCAAGTTATTTCTCTATAATAAAGACTTATATATTAAGGGCGGCTACTTGAGCTATTTTATTATTAAATTCCCGGGCCTTAAGCTATATAATTTTGGTTTTATAGGAGTTTCTAAGAGGTTTTCCGACTTCCTAAATAGTATTATTTACTAATTTATTAATATTTATAAAATATTACTTTTTTAATTTGGCCTTTAGGATTATTTACTAGTTTTTGGTTTTAAACTAGTACTTTATATAATAATTATTACTTAATATTATATATCTTCTAGTTATAATAGGTATCTTAATACTAGTTTAGCTATTTTTATTATAGTTAGAATTTCCTTTATTACTAGAAGTCTTTCTATTCTTAGTCTTTTTATTATTAGAATTCTTATTATTATTTAATATCTTATATTTTTTTTTAAATAAGCTAGCCTTATTCTTTTTTACTTTCTTAATATTTGGCTCTATAAGATTAATTAGATAGCCTTTATTAGTACTATCTATTTCGTCTATTTAATTATTAGACTTATTATTACTAGTAACTAAAACTTCTATTTTATTATTTTTAGAATATTTTACTAAAATATTTTCTATAATAATTTTAGATATATTCTTAAAAATAATACGGGCTATATTTTATATATTAATCTATTCTTAGATAAGGGAATTACTATTTTTATTTATAAAAATAATTTGGCTAATAATTATATTAATAATAGTAATAGCTACTAAACTTAAGATATTATTACTATTATTTAAGTTATTTAGGATCTAGTAAATAGTCTTATTTAATCTAGCTACTAATAATATATTACCGGGATTTCTTATTTATTTCGTTTTTATTAATAATTCTATTAAGGTAATAATAATAATATAAATAATTAAGGTTATAAAGATTAAAGTAATTAGAAAGATTTCTCTTAATTTTTAATAATATTTTAAACTAATATAGGTAAGTATTTATTTTTAGTTTAGCTTTAAGAATTTACTTTTTTTTTATAATTTGCCTAGATAATAAAACATAATCTAGTATAATAAAGAAAAGTATTTTATTTAGATTTCTGGAAAAGAAAAGAAATACTAATATAATAAAATAAAGGAAATATACTAGAATTTAGATAAAATCCGGGAAATATCTAGGTTTTTCTTTTTCTTCTCTAATTATAAAGGCCTTATTATTAAGATTTATTATTATCTAGGTAGTTTTTATTAAAATTATTTTCTTTAATATACTAAATCTATTTATTTAACTAGATAGGAAGTCTTGCTTTATTAGAGTTCTATTTATGAAATTTATATAATTTAAATACTAAGTTCTTAAAGTTTAATATAAGTACTATTTATTATTTATATCCTATTTCTTTTATCTAATTTTATAATAAAACTTATTATAAAGTACCTTAAAAAAGAGAATCTTTTTAACTTCCTATTCGAGTTTACTATTAATTTTAGTAAAACTAGGCTCTTTATTAATCTAGCTAAATAATAAATTAGTAAGATTCTTATAAAGTCTATTTATATAGAAAATTGGCTAAATCCTATATAATAAAAGAAAATCTAATTAATATAAATAGCCGACTATTTTATTAATCTTAAATAGTCTAATAAGAAAATAGTTTAATTTATTAGATAAATAATTCGTTTTTTATATCTTTTTAATTATATAGACTATATCTCCTAAACCAAAATCCGGTTCTTACTATTTCTTATTAGCTTATTTAGCTTAATACTCCTGAGCTATTACTATATATTCTCGGGTATAATTAATAATAGTATTAATTCTTTTAGCCTATTATTATATTTCTTCCTAATTAAGTTTCTCTTTTAGTATTTTAAACTCTATTATTAGTAATATCTAGTTAAAGTTTAGCCTGGATTTATATTTATAATTAATTATTAAGGGAAATAAGCCAGTTAATTTATATAGGTAAATAATACCTATAATATTAAATACTAGAAATAAATTTACCTAATTATTCTAGAAATAATTAATAAAGAAATAAAGTCAGATATTAATAATCTAGTTAATAATTTCTATTTATCTATTAATTTGGGTATATTTTATAATTAAAAGTTTTAGCTTAATTCTAGTTAATCTTAATAGTTTATTTATAAAATCTAAAATGAATTAGGGTTTTTAATTATTTAT